CCTCCTCACCCTCCCTCCTCTGGGAACCACAGAAATACCTACCCACGCTTCACACGCAGCAAAACATAAAAACCATAAAAAAAAAAAAAGAAGAGATGCACGCTTTTTTTTTTTGCGCAGCTTTGAACCTGTGGGAGTTGCCCGCCACGCGTGCAATCATGCCACCGAAGGAAATGTTGCAGGTAAGGGTGGGAGCTCGACAGCTCTCAAGAAATACGTGCATGCAAACCTCTGCCCTCCTCATAGCCTGTCCAGGACAGTACAGATGGAGGGGTGTTAGGAGGCAAAGAGAAGTCAGATGACTGCATCGAGAAGTGCAATTGCATGCCCAAGGCTTCCCAGCAGCTCAGCTGGAGGTGAGGTGAATGGCACCCAGCTATTTTGATTTCCCATCAAAGAACAGTAGCACTTCAGGGCACTTAGGAATAGTCAGGTGGTTAAAAAAAACATGTGCACACCTTGCTGGTACAGAGAAGTCAGCTGAGAGAAAAATCAAGAGAATTCAGGGCACAGAGAGACCTGGAGAGCACCCGCTTCTTTGCAGGAGCAGAGCAGGGCATGCAGCAGATAGGAGGTGTGCTAAAACAAGGTGCCCATGAGAAAACTAAGCTGGCACCTGAGAAGAGAAAACATTTTAGAGCAAGGTTGCTGTGCAAAAAGGGAAAAGATCTAGCTGGAGGAAGCAAAGGATAATCCTGAATAACCCTTGATAACCCCACAGCGTCTAGGGCTAAAGTTTTGAGAGGATAAAGCAATAGCAATGTAGCATGCTCCCACCCGCTACAGCTCCTGCAGAGACTGCAACGATCCCGAGGCTATTAGAAACATCCGAAATCCTTGCTGAAAGGTGATGCAACCCTCCCATTATTCTTATTTTTCAAGGACTTTGGCAACTGGACTTGTGACGCTTCTAAATCCCTAACCCCACTGTCACACAAATAAATACCACTTAAAGTCGGTGGGGAAACTCCTGCTTTCACTGGAATTATCTGGAGTTTTATAGGGCTAACTTCGAGAGAGTTGGGGTTTGGCTGCATGATAAGACCGAAAGCCTAACCCACAGACTGCGCAGCCAGCAGTGAACTCAGTGGGATCAGCGTGCCCTCTTTCAGAGTTCATGCTAGTGATTCATCTCCAAACAGCCTGAGGTCCCATGGAACTCCTATAATTACACAGCCCCCCGCAAAGACAAGAGGCATCTGAATAGATGCTCGGGGCTGTGCTGCTGGGCTCAGTTCCCTGATGGCATCGGCCACAACTTCCCCAAATTGCCATTCAGCAGATGATGGTGATGGATGAACAAGTCCCAGGGGACTGGGGCTATCTGCTTGGGCTGCAAGGTGACACTAAAGTGCATGCTGGTGTTTCTTCAACCACACCAATCCTGTGAACCAGCCAGCTGAAAGCAGCTCAGGTGTCCTAAACCCGTGTCCTCACCCACAGCTATAAGCCAGTTCATTACCCAGCCAAACACCAGTGGTCCAGGAGTTTGTTTCATGTGTTTGAAGGCTTAGTCTCCCTTCTCCGGATGCCTTCCATGGGCCACGTCCCTGGACAATGCTTACTTCAGCCAGACGTGAAAGCCTGAGCTGGAAAGAGAAGCTAAGCATCTCAATAAATAAATAAATAAAATCTGTATTTGTCATAAGACCTGATAGGATAGCATCTGCCCTAAATCAATAAAAGGTCCAGAGGAAGTGAAAAAGGAAGATTACAATAAAAACAGGATTTCCAAAACGCTGCACAGAGTGAACGACGACCCAACTATACGTTTTCAGTCTTACATGTATAATTAAACTAGAACAGCAACAGCAAGCAGCTGTCGATTTGTCTCATGCTGAACCCGGCCTTTATGTAGCAGTGCCTGCATTTTTACGAGGCCAGAAAATAAAGCAGGGCCTCCTGCCCCACGGTGGGTAGGGTGTATTTGGTGTGCGAGACACACGTGGTGCCACGGTAAGAAGCCGTAGTGTTGGTGTCTGCCAAGAGCTGTCGACGGCTGCTGGTTACAGCCGTAGAGAATGGCTCCTTTTGGCAGGCAGGACAAAGACAGGCAGCCTTCCTTTTATTTTAAGAAAGTCACCGTGTTTTCTGACTCACGTTTTAATGCCAGTGTCATTACCAGTGCAGCACAGCTGGAGGAGACCTCAGGCAATTGTCTAGATCACCAGCAAATACACGTCGACTGTTCGTGACACATATCTGACAAAAAAAAACACATACTGGTAGCAATTCACTTCTCCTCAGAACTCAATCAATGCGTTGAAAATCATGAAATCCCACGCAGATCTGTTTAGAAAGTCCTTTTCCTTGCTCTTGAACTTGCTGGTTTATCCTCAAACCACATGTGCTTTCTTTGCAAACAGGAATGGAAAGAAACCTCCGATTAAAAAGAAAGTTGATGGGCTGTGAGGCCGTGCCCAGCCACCAGCACCAGCAAAGCGCCAGCTCGCTGAGTTGTGCCAGCCAGCTATGTCACTTGCTGGGTCATGGCAGTGACACCACAAACATCCGCACCCTGTGGCAGCAAGTGCTTGCGGAGCAGGGAAGTACTTCTAAACCAAAAAAGGGTAGTTTTAAAATAAAGAAGGGCAGGGTTAGATTAGACTGTAGAAATAAATTCTTTCCTGTGACGGCAGTGAGGCCCTGGCACAGGCTGCCCGGAGAAGCTGTGGGTGCCCCATCCCTGGAGGTGCTCAAGGCCAGGCTGGATGGGGCTTTGGGCAGCCTGGGCTGGTGGGAGGTGTCCCTGCCCATGGCAGGGGGGTTGGAATTAGATGCTCTTTAAGGTCCCTTCCAACCCAAACCCTTCATACTCAGGATTTTGATGCCACGTCTGGTCATGGCATGAGTTAGCAGTGCCTATACTGCCTTGCCAACCCTCCATGGGGGCTGGCAGCCAGTGAGCCACCCAAAAAACTTGCAGCACTGCCTGGTACTCTTCTATCTTGCCTTTCACCACAAGCATTTTTCTCCAGGTTGAGCGAAGGCAATTGCCTCCAGCCTATTTCCAGCACCGCATGTGGGCTGGCAAAAGCTACAGACACCCGCTGAGGCGACGCGATGCAGACAGGTTTTTTTTCCTCCCTCCGTCTGTCACCCAGTGCACCCTCGGCAATAACGCGTGATGAAGCAAAAGGAGCTCACCATTCAAGTGGAAAAAAATTAAACCGAACCGCTTGTAAGAAGTCGCTGAGGAGGAGGAGGACAGAGTTTACATGGGTAAAAGTTGCTTTTACAGACACGGAAGCTGAAAGTTGGTATTTGCTGCCCTATTTGCAGTGCTAGCCTCTTCTGAGCAGATTCAGATCAGCCCCATCACTAGGGTCAAGGCAAGAAAATGTACTTTCATGTGACACATTTTTAAAAGAAATCATTTGGAATCATTTCAGCACTATTTTGGATGAAGAACTGATTCTCAATAAATATTATAGTATTAAATGTCGTGTGAGCATTGGTTTTACACAATAGATCTTTGTTTATCTGAGGTATCAAACTGTTATTTGGTAGAATGGTTAACTAAAAATAAAACTCGCATTCTCTCCCACAGCTGGTATCTACCAGAGTTGTTACATATGAAATGTAACTAATTTCAAGTCAACTTTGTTAGAAATCTACAAGCTTCTTTTAAATCTAAAACCACTGCAAGCTTTTACCTGCTAAACGACTCAATGAGTTGCTTAAATAGCTAAAACAGCAGCACCTGCACATAACTCCAGCAGTTTTTGACACCCAAACAGGAGAAACACAAGAGCCTTCACACTTTTGCACCGAGCAAAGCAGCTCAGAAGCTATAAACAGGGGAAACCTAAAAATGCTGAATTAGCTCACAGCAACAATGGCAGCGTCACCTCCCCTCCTCCCCCCAAAAAAGACAGTATGAAACTAAGAATACCAGTGCGACATCTAACTATTAACAAGACTAGGCCTTTCTATTTTTTGTTTGTTTGTTTGTTTGTTTGTTTAATTTGCAAAAGAAGAGCCCAGCGTTTTACTGACCACAACAGAAAGCGGCCGGGTCCTGGAGACGCCGCCGCCGCCGCCTTCACGGCACCACGTGCGCCATTTTGTGGACCCCGGCGTGATGTCCCTGGCATAGGCCAGGGACATGGGAACCCCTGGAGGGAAGGGAGCAGCCAGGACCAAAATAAAAACCGTAAAAATAAAAGCCAGAACTAAAATAAAGCTGTTTGCAAAGGATGAGTTGCATGTTTTCTCTTTAGAGTCCCCTGCAGGCCCTGACCCGAGCAGCCTCCAACGCAGTGTCTGAAGCAGGTTAGCGGGGGTGCTGCTGCAGACCTGGTGCAAGTGGCTGTGGACGTGGCAGAGCTGTGCTCTTCGCTGACACACGCCTCAGCTACACCTGTGCGTATTTATTCTGCTGGCACAGTCAGTGCCACTCGGGGCTATAGGGAACATCTCTGCAACGCCATTTTCAGAGACATGGCCTCCCATGAGGCATGATGAGGTACCTGATGCGATGGCCTGTGCTGACACCACAGTGTTCATGGCATGTTACAAAGCCAGTTTTATCTCAGCTACTCTCAGGGCATCCTTGTGGGTCCCTGCCACCTCGATATCCTACAGCTCTAGGGCGGTTAGCTCACACCTGCAGCCCCTGATGCTGCGCTTGTTTAGGTCTGGAATAGCGAAAACGGAAATGCTTCTCGAAGCATTTTTCTTTGCAGAGTTGCCTAGCCCCACGTCCCCCCCAAAACCCAAAGCAAACACAGCGGGATGCTGCACTATGGGGCCGGCCGGGCTCCCCGCTCACCCCACAGCGCCGTCACACCCAACCGAAAGCAGCCCCCGCCTCGCAGCGCAACCCCAAAAACCCAACTTCGGCGTGGAAACAACCCCAGGGGGTCCTCCCCACCCAGCCTGGCCATAAAGCAGGAGGGAGATTGGGGCAGAACCGCTCCTTCCTCCTCCTCCTCGTGCCCTGACCCCACTCTCCCCATGCCCGCTCCCCCCTCGAAGCCAGCATGGCGCAGGGCGCTGCTCGCCTCAGCCCTACCTGAGCGCCGCGGCCGCTCCGCCGCATCGGGACCCGAGTGTGGCGGATCCGGGACCGGACCCGGGACCGGGACCGGGTTTGGGGCAGGGTTTGGGGCCGGGGGAGGCGGCCTCGCGTGCGAAGGGAGCTCGGCAGCGGTGCTGCTTTGAGTCAGGGCCGGCCGCGGCGGCGGGGGAGAGCGGGCTGCGGCTGAAAGAGAGAGCGGCGCTGAGTGATCTCCGGCCGGCGCCTGGCACGCAAGGGCTTGGCGGCTCCCCCCCCCCCCATATACACACACACACACACCGTGCCCACCGAGCCCTGAGGGGAGAAAGGTGGCAAAAAGGGGCGTCGGAGGGGGTAAATTTGATGTTTCGGCTTGCTGCTCCCCAAGGGCTGCCGCTGGTTGTCAGCCCTCCCCCGCGCAGCAGCGCTCGTCAGCAGCAAGGTGTGATTTTGCCATGTCCTGCAGGTAAAGGGAGCTGGGATACATAAAAAAGCAAAAAGTTCCGTGCCATCAGCAGGCTGAGAAACAGAAAACAGCATAAACCACTCAGCAATGTAGGTATTTACCAAGAAAGGGTGTTTTTTTTTTTTTGCAGAGATCAGGAACACCCGAGGTGTTATTCATCCCTCTCAGAAACGACAGCAAACAGACAGCTCTGAAGGTTTCGTCTCAATGGATTCAGTTGAACCAGTTATACCACAAGCCTTCCCGAAGCTGGTAAGTGAATGATGATTACTCACAAAGAAAGTTTCTGTAGCGTGAATATCAACCCAAGCAAACACTTTCCTCACAAAGTCTCTCCAAGAAAGTCAGGGCACTCAGTGAACTTTCAGAGGCATCGCCTAGGAAGCGTTTTCCACCTCTATTTTACAAAGAAATTACAGGCAGATTAAGATCAAGCTGTTTATTCCCACTGAGCAGATGTGAAATAATTTGAGAGTAAAATATATAAGACCCCTTCACTACCAGTCCCATCAGTTTGCCCCAGGATCCCTGTTGGGATAAAATGCTTTTATTTTTACTTTATTTTTTCTGCCTAGTCCCAGCCTGAATGCTGTGCCAGATCTCAGCTGCTAGTTTCTGCTTTTAAAGAACTTGCCAAAAGATTAAAAAATCCTTAAAAAAAAGATAAAAGATTAAAAGGGTCACAAGTGTCAGTGGCAGGTTTTTTATTTCGTAGATTGTCCTACTTTGTAGATTATGCAGCAGATTAGCCACCCGAGAAATTTTCTGTTTACTTCTTTTAAAGGACACAAGTGCTCAGATAACTCAGTGATTGTGAGATTCGGGAGAATCAGAGATCTCCGTGCTGATTCAGTTTTGCCCGTATACCAAAACTGATCAGATATCAAATGTGGCTGGCTAAGATTTTCTGGAAGTTACACTGCAGAGGAATGAACAGGTTACATGTGTGTTTAACAAAATATAAAGACTTCTTTCAGTTTTAGCATGGAATTCACAGCAAGTGCTGCTCTGCTCCAGCTATGCCACAATTCAGTAGAGAAGTGACACCGGCTTGCATCGACAAAGCAATACAACCAGCTCAAAACACAAGGTGAATTCCCCTCTACTTTCCAAACTTTTCCTTACCAATTTTTTTTTAGCAGCACATACAAAGAGAAGTCAGAAGCATCAGTTTCCAGGACACATAACTCTAAGGACATATTGATAAGACCCATGACTTTCATTCTTTTAAGAAGGAAATACACGTGGAGTGCCCAGGCAGTGAGAACAAGCCGTGTCCTGAGAAGTTGCAGGATGGTGAATGCAGGAGTGGATTTAAGCTACAGAGCTTTGCCTGCAAGGGTTACATTCGGGAAGAAAGAGAGAGGCTGAGCAGACATGCAAAACAAGCAGGTAGAAAATTATTTCTGTAGCAGAAAGGACTGAAGTTTCTTTTTTTTTTCTTTTTTTTTTTTTTTTCATGTGGTCAATATGCTTATCAGCACAAACTGCGATTTTCTAAGCCTTTTTCTCAGTACTGGTGCATTACTGTAATTCATATATGCATGTGGCACATTCATGCGTGACCAGGGAAGCGGAACTTGTCTAAGCAAAACTGGCAGCAATAAAGAAATCTGCAAAATAGGTCTGCAAAAGTGGTGAAGTAGCTAAAGGTGAAAGAGCTTGCTGCTCTGCATAGGGACTGATTTCACTCCAGCTGTGCATGATGCCACGTACCTGCTGAGACACAGAAAATATGAAAAGAGATTTGTTATTCAAGACAACTGGTTAAGTGCAAATTTACATCAATAGCTGATCCAACTAATAATTAAGAAACAAACAACCCCTAAAACGTAGGAATACCATTTGCCCAAACGACCACCGTGCTGTATTATTTGCAGCCTGCCAAATAGCTTCAACAGGACAACAGCTAGAGCACGTTTGGGTTTGTGCTGAAGCAAACTCCTCTTGTAGGGGAGACCTTAGAAGAGGAAGTTGAGGGTGGGACAACAGGAAACTTTGGAGAATCAGGTACTGCTGCCAATAAGTCTTTCTGACCCATAAGAAAGAAAGTGGATAGGTACATTTTCAGTATCCAGTGCTCCATGCCAAAGAAAGCCTTCCTGCTCAATTAGGACTTTCTTTCCCCCATCATAAGGCTGCCAAAGCAATACAACTACTGAAGCTTGACAATGGCAAAGCCTGGTCTCTCGACAAGGTCAAATGCTGTTGTAAATTGTGGACTGCAGGGTAAAATCCAAAGCTAGAACGGTGCTTGTAGAGACAGGGCAGCTCTTCCACCAGCGCTAGTGGGAGGTTGGAGCAGAGATACAGGATGAAATATAGCTGTTGTCTGTTATTTAGCCTTTTGTCAGCTATTGGAAGGGGTTGCCTTGAGGCTGCTAATTCTTCTTCCTTCAACCTCTTTTGCTTCTCCCTCCTCTGTCACCCCCCACTTTTCCCCTTGCTCTCTTCCATACGTCCATGACAGCTGAACACTAATGTCCCCCTTTTGCTGCTTCCTCTACTTATTGCTGATTACCAGATAACCTAGAAATAGTGTCAGGGAGCAGCAAGTGCTGGGCTGCTCCAAGAGGGAGGACAAGCCAAGAGCCAGCAGGGACCGCAGTATGGGCAGTGACACTCCCGTAACTCTGACCCCAGCGAGTGGAAACCAAACAGAGATGTGCCCTAAAGGACAGCAGTGCTGCTTTGCAGTTTTTAGGCAAATCTCCTTTTGTCAGCCGTAGAAATGCTCTCCCTTCTGAGCAGTAGCCCTGCACATGTGCCCGTGACTGCTAGATCTCGTGACTAGCAGTGTCTTGTTTTAGCTTCTGCTGCGGTCTCCCGCTGTGATTTCAGACATCGCCTACTTGTTTCTCCTTCCTTGATGACCAGGTAGGTGGATTTCTTTACTTAACGTGGGTATCTGAGATAAGGCACTGTTACACAGGGCTGGCAAGGACCTTCTAGGTCTTCAAAAACAGCTCTGGGCATAGGCGCCCATCTCATAAACTGATCACTCTCCATCCTGAACCTACTGAGGGATTTTCCCCTCCTTTCTCCTTTGGAAAGGCTCCCTCCCTGCTTGGATGATGAATCGTGCTTTCGGAGTCCTACTCAGACTGAGGCACAGTTTGGTTTACTGCACTTGTTTTCCCAAGTGATTTGAAATCACTTCAGACACTTGATGCAGGTGCACCTGCTTGCTTCTTATCTAACCAAGGAGCCCAATCAGTAGGACTCAGCACTCCCTTGTCTGTCTTGATGTGAGGTTATGATTGCCATGCTGTGGCTACCCGAAAAGATGTTCAGGTAGTTATCCTGTCCTGTCCTGTTCCCCCACCCACCAAGAGGAGCCTGAACTTAGTTAAATGTGCCTGTACTGTCAGGGTTTGTTACTACAGCCTGCAACGACTTATTGCGAATCGCAGCTATGTTCTCAGCACAATGTGGTGCCAACGTGGATGTGATTTAATAACAATCAATACAAGTAGGAAACCTAAGGAAGTGTAACAACAAGAATTTTTTTATTAGAGGGTCAATAGCCAAGTCATTCAGGAAGAATTAATTTTCAAGATTTGGCTACAGAAGAGCTCTGCAATCTCATTGCCTTCCCCATGCCCAGCAGCTTTATTATTATTATTACTTTTTTTTTCGGGGGAGACTTCAGCAGGTTTCTTCCATCCTTGGGTCTTTGACGCTGGGTTCCCTCTAGTGGCATTAACAGGAGCATCGATTCTGTGTTATTGACTGATCTGGGTCCGTAGAAGGGGCAGGGGGAAGAGGACACTGCAGGATGCTACCAACTTACATCAGGAAACACTGACTTGTCTTCTTCTGACTAGTAGCCTAGCACTTTTGTATACCACAGGTTCTTTATTTTTTCCATCAGCTGTTCAGCCAGTAAACTGAGTTTGGTCGTTTCTCTGATGAGGAAGGTCCTGCAGGAGACAACGGCATATGTGGTAAGATATACACGTATGTGAGTGAGGGCAGTCTGCATCTGCAGTAGTTATCAAACTACCCTTCTTTCACACTGCCTTTTTCATTGAGAGTGCAATGCTCCTCAGCACTCCTAGAGGGGCTTTCCTCGGAAGATAGGAATAGGCAGTCTGTATTTTCCATGACTTAGATGAAACTGTATCTCCTGGGTCATCTTGCTTTTCCTTTCAGGAGGAAATTCTTTCCCGTTCTTTGAGGAATATATATTTACAGTTAGAGCCAATTCTGTGATTTGAGTGCCACCAGTGTTTGCTGGCACCTTCAGTACTCAGCCCTTCCCAGACAGCACCACTCCGCCTACCCAGCTCCTTCCATGGGAGCTGATTCCCCACCAGCCAGTGGCCTCTCCCTCACTACCCATGTCTAAAGAGCAGTATGTGCTATCCCCATGAGTATTGTATTCAATGTGCATCCCTGGGAAGAGGTTGCACTGTGATACAAAGCCATATCAACCTCGCTTTTCATTATAGTCAATCAGGCTTTGGTTGTTGATTCACTGCTCATTGGGTCTCCTTCTACTGATAGTGCATTAATCTGTTCTTTCTTCCCCTCCTCCCTCTCCCTTTCCACCCACGGCTATTGCAATGCTAGCGTAGATTCTCCATACCTGGTCCCAACAACTACTGGAGTCTGGGCAGCATCCGCCAAGAACTGACCAACTCTAGGGGACATCTTGTTCACAGTTTCATAGATGTAAGCTGCAATTGCATCGGGGATGACCAACCAGTCACGACGGTCTCTCTCAAAGATGGACTTTGAGTGCACTTCTGCGAAGGAGGAGGCAAAAAACATGAGGTTTCTCCAGTCCCTCTGATATCTTCCCCCACACACAATGGGAAGAGACATGAAACTCTCAGGTTCACAGCCTCCCCCAGAATTTGATTTGCTCTAGCAGCATCCAACAGCACCTCATTGCTAATTTGAGGGCACCTGAGTCACAGGCTTTACGTGCTAGAATATTTACACCAGGTATGGATGGTTTGTACACCAAGCTCCTCCTGTCTGGTTTCACTTAGCTAGCACCATAAATTCATGGTTTTACCTTATGGATGGAACAGACTTCTCTAAGGCAAGTTAAAACCCATCACAAAAGCTTTTCAGACTTACCGGGAACGGTGGTGCTAAGGAGCAGGATCAGAGCTATCACCAATGCCCTGTATTGCACCATGGTTTGCGGTCCCAGTTCAGCCCCGCACACCTGGAGACCTGCTGGAATCACAGCACAATGCTTTGTTTGTTTTCAGAGAAATAAAACATGTCTGTTAAACACCACATTTGTGCAACAAACCTAATGAATAAATGAAAAAGAAAGCAGGAATGATCATTTGGTGCATTTCTTTTGAAGGAGTGAGGAAAAGATTGTACAAAGAAAAGTATTCTTTTATTTGTATAATAGCACATATCCACAACGAATGATAACTTTCAGAGTTCCAAGGAATCTGTGACAGTTACAATCACTTTTTAATTATAAATATATATATATAATAATAATAATTATTATTATTTTTTAATAAGAGAACTAAAATTCCTTGTTTCAGTATTTGAGCAAACAAAACTGGCAGCGATCAGAATAGACTTCTTCTACACATAGGTACAACTGCAAAAAGTCTATTAAGGGAATTTTGGTTTGATCTTTTGCAAATGGCTCTAAGGAATCTTGTGTTAGTCAGTGCTTCATATAAAATGATATGAATGAGCCAACGATCGGAGTATTTTGTCTTGAGCTAGAAAAGACTCAGCCAGGTTCTTCTCTTTTCCACGCTGTGATTGGTGAATCAGCTGGCAACCCAGGCAGAACACATTTTTTGAAGGGACTAAGTACAAACTTCAGCCTCATCCATTATCCTTTTGTCTATTAAAAAAGGCAGAGGAACTCTTGAAAAGTTGGTACTTAGTACATCGAAAGGATGACATTGCATCTAAACAAGATTTTCAAACAAGTGTTCTTAGAAAGGTTTTTAGAAGTTAAAACTGATTACAGCCTGAATTACAGGGTGACATGTCAGAACAACACGAAGCAAACATTGCAGTAGTAAGACCTGCAATGTCAAAAAGAAGGCTGCAAGCCTATTCCATATGAAATCTTTGCTAAATCCTGTTCCAGGTAGTGGCACTAGTCAGCGCTCCCTCTTATTCCACAGTAAGACAGTTTGTTCCCATTTTGTTCTCCTTCTAAGCACAGATTACCTCAAAAAGTTACAACTCCATCTTCGCTAGACATTTGCCAACTGGCAGCAGATCCTCATTTACCACCCTCCCTTGATTTTTAATCCTAGAGACAAATTCTCCCTCTGTAGATAAAAGTTACAAATTTTCTTCCTAGGAGCGTGAAGAGGGGATCTTACCTGCTTTAAAGCCTGTAGCCCCTGTGTTGAGAGCAGCTGTGAAAAAAGTTAGACATCTTCCAACACTGAAACTCTGTAATCCCTACCATGGGCTCAGCCCTCCTATGAGCGTCCTATGAAGCATCCATCACTCAACTTCAGTCCAGGTTGCTCAAGCACTCCCACCCTCTTCCCCCTCCACTCGCTTCTCTACACCCTACGTACACCAGTCACAAAGTCCATGCCACCCAGAACAGGCAGTGCAGCTCTTACCTGTCCTGCTTTCTCTCTCTCAGGCCGAAGCTGAGGTAGATGCTCATCTGAGACACCGGCATTTATGCAGAGCTAATATAGAGATAGCAAGGGGTCAAAGGTCCTGCTTTGTTTCCCCATTTGCTCTTTTGCTGTTGTTGGGATTTGGTAACGGAGGGTCAGTCTGACCTGAGCCTAGGAGACGTGGAAGGCAGCTCCTGGGTCACTGAGTCCCCCACTTTTCAGGCAACCATGTCATGGAGGCCCCTTTCATAAGCTGACCAAATTCCACATTAACAGGAGCTGGAGCTGGGCTGAATTTTGCTCCCGCTGCTCCTGTGGGAAGGCCCATGCCGTAACCTCACTGCACTGACAGATGCAAATTATTTGTGGCTATTACGCTCATCCATATTTCACCCTCTGTTTCCAACACGTCCATTAACCAACTGAGGCATGCAGGTGAGCTCACACATCCATGCTGCACTCTCGCAGTTCTTCTGTCCCCATATCCTAGCCTTTCTGCACAGGCTGACGAGATGGGCATGCACCTGAGCCAGCTGTCAAAACATGGACTGGGGAAATATAATTCCTCCCCAGGCTGCCCGGGGAACTGGGCCCAGTCAGAAAGCAAGCGTTCCCCTACCACAGACAGGGCAGCCAAGTCAGCGATACAACTCAGGGCACATCATTCAAGAGGGTTGCCAGTGGGTTCCCAGACAATTTTCCTACTTTCTTGGTGAAAAGATTTTTTTTTTTTTTAATAAAAATATTTTTTTTTAATAATTTTTTTTTTTAATAAAAATTAAAAAAAAAAAAACTCCTGAAAGTATGAAAAACCCTCCTGAAACTACTGCAAACATTGACCAAAAAAAAAAAAAAAAAAAAACATGGAAAAATCATACTGCACTTTTGTCCAAAAAATAGCAACAGAAAATTCTTACTAATGTCTATCGCGGTTATTTCCAGAAGTTTATTTCCAGAAGTCAGAACAGAGAATTTCTAGTTCCACTTCTGGTGAAAATACTCAAAAGCAATTTATGGTCTAGGAAGAAGACACAGGAGCAACAGTTTGTAAGTTCCCTTATATTTTAATGGTACATTCAGCAATCATTGAAAAGCCTCTACACATTTACCATCTGCTCTTACAGCTGCACTAACATTGAGAACACCAGTACGAGGCACATTATAAGCATTAAACTTAACAGAAATTGCAACAAGCAGTTATTACTATGGGTGTTAATTAACATCACATCATCTTTCTCCTATGTCGGGTCAACAAATGGCAGTCTCTGACCATATTAAAGGGGTATTTTATACTGATGTGCTGCTCGAGGTAGTAATACCAAGGGGGTTTAGCTGCCCTGTGTAGGGTTATGTACAACCGCAGAGCTTCGCATTGTGCTTGCTATCACGAGGCAACTTACCCTCCCCACCAAGTTAGCCTAACTTTACCTAGCGCTATCATGAACACAACCCCAGAGATAGCAACTGGGCCTTTCAGCACTTTCTACTGCCAAATAGGCAATTGCCAAGCCCAGATCAATGATTGCACAAGCAGCAGCCCTTGCCCCCCGTTCCTGGAATGGCATCCTGGAATGGCAGGGTGCTCTGCAAATAAGCAAGAAAGCCAGGTATTGCAAGTCCTTTCTGAATCAAAGAAAAAATAATTTATTACTTAAAAAAAAAATCTTTTGTGATGAATCTCTGGCCTGAGGTAGAAAGCAGCTGACAGAAGCAGCGTGGGTGTCCTTATCTGCCCCATGGGTCACGGTCACTCACTCATTACATTATCATTTTAATTAGGATAACTCCTGTGGCACTATCAAGGCACTCGTGATGAAGGAAATTTATTCTTTATGGTAAAGGTACGTTCCTTCAGCTGCATGACAGGAAGAAACAAAAGCCTACAGTGAAAATAACTCTAAACATGGCCAATTTCTTTCACCACAAACAAGCTGACATGAGAACATCAGCTCTTTGGAATGGCTAAAAAATTAAACATTAGTAAGTTACAGCCTAGAAAGAATGAGGCTAGGCCATTTCCTACCATTACTTCTTTCAGTGTGTAGTATTTGACCTACTCAATTCAATCTCTCTTTTAAAAAGAAGTCAAAGATCTGGTAATCTTACTGGGGAAAAAAACAAAAAAGGAATATACATAGCATTGAGCAGTGCTGTGAGATGAGCATTTAAAATGTATGTGAACGTGAAATGAGCATTTAAAATGTAGCCTATTTCCTTCCAGCTTTTCTGCCTGCTTTCAGTTGCAAAGCATGCATTTATAGATTTCCTTTTTAATTGTTTCACAGCCCACCAACTGGTGCTTTATGAACTACAGCGTTCTGTGGACCAGATCTTAGCAAACCTGGTACCATTTCTGCTTCCCTGCTGGAAAACCTAATCGACTTCTGTCTGCAGTTTAAGTCACAGAATTAAGTCTGAGATATAATCACTTTTCCCTGAAGAGTTTTGTTTAACATTTTTGTAACTGTGAACAAAGTGACTGAAGAGCAGCTCAAGCATGATAAAGATAAAACTCCAGACTTTCACACAGCACAAATTGTGTGAATTCACACAATCTACAGTTAGTCACCCTAGCACAAGCATGGGGCCCACGGTGACAAGTAGCGATGGAAGGCTCTTTCACGGTATTTAGATCACAAAAATGCAACCTCTGCAGTTGTCGTGCTCACACTAGCGCATCACGCTTCAACCACTGCTGCTGTTACACACAATCACCTGGGTTTTCTTAGTAAAACTCGCTGGACATGTGTTGGCTTATACACAGTTAAACATTAAGGAAAGGAAACTCTTCCCCGTGCTGCCATACCAGGATCACTACTGATGTCCCAATAGGCTCTGCTCTTGAAGGAGAAAGGTGCATTCCCTGAAGCCTGGACATTTAGGCTGGGTCGAGAAGCTAGTGGATCCTGCTGCTCTATCTCCATACAAAGGCATCAGAAATAAGCAGTGTCAGCCAAGAAACTGTAGGAAAATGAGTGCTCTCCATTGTAGCCTTTGGTCGATCAGCAACTGCATCAGATATCCAGCTAGGAGTGCTTGCTTCTAGCATTATGTTTCCCATCATTGTCGAAAGAAAAGAAAAAGGGAGGTGGGCAAAATGAAAGCATGCCCAAGTCTGTCTTCCAGGGACACCAGTAATAGGGACATAAAAGAACAAATAATTGAAAGTGTCCCATGTGGCACTGGTTGGGAAATAAGCTGGGCGATGCAGCGATTAACACTGGCCAATCTCTGTGCCTCTGGGTTACACAATAATTCACAAGATGCTCCTAAAGCTCCTTGCCAACAGTTGAGTCTTGAATCCAGAAGTGCCTTTGGCAAGCCAGTTTCCTGTGGAAGCAGCCAGCATGCAACTACAACACCCAGAGAACATCAATTTTACCAGCACATCTTAAATGAAAACAAGGGATGAATCACAAAGAGAAATGGCAAGCCATTCCCCTTTGCAGCTGGTCTCAAAGCACAGAGAAATCCTGTGTTCAGGTTGCAAGGTAAGAGATAAGAAAACTCTGCAACCTAACTGTAGATCAGATGCACCATGTATTCAAAACTGGTGTGTTGAGGTAAAGATCAAGAAGACAATAGTAAAAATTGTGACTGTAAGACTTCTTCAGAGCCCTTTATCCCACCCCATGTATATAATACATGGCACAGCGAGCAAAGGGAGAACATAAAACACATAAAAAAAGAACAGATAGCTCAGGAAGCATACAACCATCAAAGTCATGCTTCCTAGAGCTGAAGGAAGTTCTGGTCCACCATATGAGGGACACCAGTCATACCCTGCTCAGTCCTTGTGGGGGACAACCAAGCTTTGGTAAATTTTAGCCTGTTACATTTACAAGTAAATTCTTTTAGGGAGAGAGGCTTACCAGAGACAAAAGGAAGTAAACGCCCAACTATGCTGAATAGCCAGGCAGAAGCAGAAATGTTACATACTCTGAAGTATAACAGAGGGCCTACGAAAGGAGATGTTGTGCCGCCCTGCACCAGACTCTGAGGGGGCCTGATCAGATGAGCTCCAGAGGCCTCCTCCAACTTAAAATTATTCTAGTGTTCTGTGACTTCACAGCTCTGCGATTATCTGAGTCATTCTCTAGTAACTGGTGTGCAAAGGACCAGCATTCTACAGACTGGGCTCCTTGTAGGGCCAGGGTACCTAACCAAGGCAACTGATGTCTCTCTTTGAAGTCTGGGAATACAATGTTTATTAAAAAATTCCGCTGTTTCCAATAGAAAATTTTCAGTGGATCACAGCCCATTAAAAACTTAAGTCTCGAAATCAAAGCAGTAACAAAAAGGCATTACATATTGCTTTCAAGGTCACTAGACATAAATTCTTCAGGGTCACAAGTTTAAGGGGAAGTAGCTTCATCTTTTGTCTTGTTTGCTGGTTGCCTGTTCAATTAAAAGCAGCCGTTCCAATGCACATAGCTGAAAAGCTAAGAGGAGTCCACTGGGAATCCCAGTTCTCTCAGCAGTGGCATTAAATTACTATGCTTCTTGCACTGTGGGAACTCCCTCTGTCCTGCAAGAGAAAATAAAAGATTCAGGAACAAGGAAGGACGGATGGAAAACATGCTTCTTTCTACCTGCTCTGAGCACCACAACAAAACCACCCATACATCCCAGCTGGTTCTAGAGCTCCATTTCCTTAAAAAATTCAGGGGGGAAAATTATTATATGCAAAATGCAGCCCTTTTTGAAGGCTGCCACCTGGTAAAATACTGCATGTAGGCAGTAATGGACATCTAACTTTTTTTTTTTTTTAAAAAAAAACATTTTTTAAAGGGAGAACGTGGTATCTCAGAGGCTAGCAGTTGGATATGAAGCTTCTCGCACACAGGATGCTGGCTGAAATATAGTCCCAGCATGAACTGGCAAGATGAGATGTGAACAATAGCTATTCACTGCCCATATAATGCAAATCCAGTCCTCAGGAGCTGCAACAAGGAAGTCACTCTCACCCACCTGGCCTGAAGGATCACGCGTTTCCCACCACTACAGCCACCCGTGATCTTAAAAGCCTATTTCATGCAGCTTCAGGCATCTTACCTTGATGCTAGCACACAGAACCCCAAATGGCTCTAAGTAGGGGCAGAATTGAGAGGGTATAACATGTCATCCCTTGTGGGATGTGATAGGTGACCTGCTTTATTTCACTTCTCACTTTGTCCCTGAACACACTAGAGCCATGCAACACACGTTTGAAGGCAGGGAAACAGGCTGCAGAAAGTAACAATCATTCACTCCCAACCCCAGAACCCAGCTCTTCCCTTTGGCAGGAGGGCAAAAAGGGCAGCTGACTCACCGACCGCAGTCCCACACCGTCCCTGTGCTTGCTGCCTCGATCTGGGATGATTTCCAGCGAGCGGTAACTGGGGGGTTTGTCTTCTGGCCAGTCCCGAGACCGATTGCGCCGCCTGCGGTTGGTTGCTGGGACGTGATCATGCTCTTCTGAGGAGCTCCAGGAGCCCCGGCGGGACGGAGGAGAGTAGCTGTGCCTCCGCTGACCTGAGCTATTGCTCCTCCCGGCGTGCTGCTGGTACTCTCGCCTCCCACCACGATGGTGGCCAGGGCGCTCCCTGGGCTCCTCCGAATAGAAACCTGCAGCTGCTGCTGCTGCTCTTGCCCCTCTGAGTCCGGCGGGGGGGTGATGCATCCCGCCTGGAGTGCTGGGGCCTGCTGGTGTAGCCACCTGTCCTCTGCCGCTGCGGATAATCCTCTCGCTGCCTGTCCCGGGGCTCCCGACTGTAGCTGGAACGAGAATCCCCACTGGACGGCAAGGGCCACCTCTGATTTTCCCTCCTGTTCTCTGCTGCTGAATCCCAATGCCTGTGGCTGCGGGCATCTCTGGGTGGCCGTGAGGAGTTGCTGCCCCCATGGGAGGAGGGGACGCGGTCGGCGAGCGGAGGAGGAGGTCCTGGTAGGCTGCGCGGCACCACCTCGGAGCCCAGGGAGGACAGCAGGCTGGGCTGCACAGCCTGTCGCTGGTGGGGAGGTGGCTGGGGCTGCGACAGGCTCAGCTTTTGGATTTCAGACTCCAGGTAGTCCAGAACACCATTGTTAGGGGCAAGTTGAGCTGGTGGCTGCACCAGCGGGAGGCTGTTGTGCAGAGACACATCTAGGGGTAAAAGCACAAGGGAATGCAGCAAGTCAAGGAGAAGCAATAAAGAAAAAAAACTCATGTTTTTGGCTAAATCCCTTCTGAGCCTCTCTTCTCTTCCTCACTGCAAGAGCTCTTCAAACTCAAGCACTACATCTTACCTTGGGCGGTTGTAAAGTGTAGTAACTGGTAAGTTGCAGCCAGGATCTGTGTTTTGAGCAGCACAGAGGCAAGAAATCAAAGTCATCCAGAACACCAAGAAACATGTTCAGAGAGGAACAGTTTTTTTCCTACAGCATTGACACCATTTTTTTCTTAATATATTTTTTTTTTACATTAGAGAAAGTTCGGTGTTTCCTCCTAGATTTCACTGAACTGGAAGTAATATGGATCAATACTGCAAAAGATTTTCTTGTAATACAAATGCACATGAACACACACGTTTCTTCACTAGGAAGCTGGTGCTGCTCTGGAACAGTTATCCACAAAGGTCATGGAATCGCCATCCTTGCAGGTTTCCAGGACTCAGCTGGACAAAGCCACAGCTAATATGACTGAGTCTGGAGTCAGTCCTGCTGTAAGCAAGAGCCAGCACTAGATGACCTTAGAGTTCCCTTCCACCCAGCACCTCTAAAAATTCAAAGTTGACCTGAAACATGCTAAGAAACAGCCTGAGGAATTTAGTCGTTCCTTGTACTCTGCCAGGATGCACATACATTTCCTCCAGAAGTCTCAGTGCATTCTGTCTTACAATTATATTGAAATCCCCTAATTTTCTGGGGTTATTAAATGGTATAGCTGAGTAAGTTATTTTATTACTTATTTCTCTATAGCTTCATATACTCCATCTTTCCTCCTCCATTAAGGCAGAAACATATACCACTGATGTAGGATTTTGGGGCAGAACGTCTAGCAAGTTCTTCTGTGTTCAGTAACGAGTCCTTTATTCTTCACTGCTTGCAGGCTAGGTCTATTGCACGGGAGGGAGTTTGCCCTCAATCATATGAAGACTAGACATTTGATAAGAACTCAAACAAATTGCACCTCTCTTGTCATGTCAATGTTGGCTATAAGGAGTTGACCGTGACCAGCACAGCAGAACAAAGAGACAGTACCCTCCTCTACCACACGAAGGGAGATAAGCTGGGTATATTTACCCTGCAGTCACTGTGGGGTAGCACAAGCTATGCCTTAGTTAGCATTAAACTACTTCTCTGGCACTGAGTCTAGGAGGACACTTAAGGCAGATATCCTGTCTTTATCCACCCAGGCAAGTCTAAAGAGCAGATGTTGCACAGCTGTCATGCTAGGAACATCTTCCTCGCTTCTGCAACAGAGAGGATGAAGCCTCACAGCTGAACCTGCCTGAGAAGTGTCCTGCTTCTCATCCTGGTTTCCCTCTGAAACGATACCCGTGACCTCACCTCGTTGCAGTAGAGGGTTCAGCTGGTAAGAGGAAAGTTGCGAGTTCCTGTCGCCACCTCTGTAGAACACGTTAGGTGACATCCAAGGCGCGAGTGCCTGAGCCTGCTTCACGAACCGATGCCGTTCCAGGGCTGTAAAAGAGGAAGAAAGCTTAGGGCAACTCCCCCTAGCCCAGCTTGCAGTACACATGCCATTTTGCTTGACAAGACTACAGTCTTTGAATGTGATCGGGTACGTAAAATTCACAGAATGAAAAGCTCTTGCCAACCGGTGACAAAGGTTAAAAATAAAGAATAGGAAATTTCAACACAAAGTTGTATGGCTTCAAAAAGGTACCTAAAACTGAAGGAAAGGGTTACTGCCAGACATTTAGGGTACATTTCCAGGAACTGGGAACAAATAGCACTATGATTAAGTACACAGCACGTAACCAAATGCAGGGCTTCTGCCTGCCATCTCATTATGAGTACAGTTGTAGAAAGTCGTGAAATAACAGCTCAGACAGCAGGACATATAGCACACTTTTCTCTCTTAAAACTCTTTCAGTTTTCCATTGGTCCTCCAGAGCTAAATGAGACCTTTCTTGCCCCCTTCATGTAGGCTTTATCCAGATCTTATCTTCCACACCACACTCAGAAGCCTTAATTGTTTCCTCTCTGTTCCACACACAAAGCACTCAGAGATGCATTGTCCAGCTTCTCCCTGTCTAGTTTTTCAACTGCTTTTGTTGTCTCTCTGTTTTACTTCAGCATGACTGCTAAACTTAAACCCCTTTGGACAGGGTGGTCAAATTAGTGAACAAACTAAATTTCCTATTCTCAGCTGCAATGTCCTGTGAGACCAAAGAGCAAACTCTATGGAAATTCCTCTCCCTCGTTATTTTTCTGCCACTAACTCCAGAGCCCTACACCAAGGCTCCAATCCCACTTCACCTTTTCAGTACTTCCATCTCACCCCTACAGAGACAGTCCTACCACCTCTGTCTTCAAAACCATCATTCATTGATGCTTTTTTTTTTTTTTGGGGGGGGGGGGGGGGGGGGGAGAATAGATAAAAACATCTTAAAGAAACTTACTCCTTCCACCATGTACAATCAAAACTCAAGAGTACCAGGAAATTCTGCAAGCCCCAGACCTTACAAAGCCCAACTCTGCATGGTTTGTCTTTCACTACTCTGTGAAACTTTTCTGTAATTGGGACTTCTGCAAAATTTCTCTTAAATGGCTTCTCTGAAGCCTCAGAAGAGGCAGAATTTCACTGCAGCCTCTTCTCCTGTAAGGCACTAAAAGCACATTCTTGCCCACACATTTCAGAAGACAGGAATGTAATTGCCTTTGAGACATTTAAATATGTCTCAAATTTAAATATGTCCCTCTGATAAATCTGGCTGAAGTTGACAAAATTAAAAGTTACTGGAGGGGAAGAGACTGGGGATAGACAGGCTGACTACGTAAGTCTTCCTTCTTTAAGAAACCAGGCTACAGCTAAGCTCCAATTAATTCTGCCCCCTGGGTTCATCTGTGGCAAGCAACATTTAGACTGCGTGCTCTTTGGGTCTCAACTCCTCCCTTCATCTCACGTGGCACTTCATTTCTTAAACAGATGGTACATATGCCTTCCGTCAGCAGTTTCACTAAATTTACACGGAGCATCACTTGTGGCATAACAGGGACTGACCATGCCTCTCCACACAGCCTTTCCTTTCCCCCCAGTTCGTGCAGCTCCACTTTGTTCTTCACTCCATGCTATTTCCCCCTCTCCAGCTTGGCTCCAAACAGAGCGAACTACACAGCTGGGGGCTTCAGGGGGTTTAATCCAAATACTGTGATTTTTCTTCAAAGCAGTGTGGCCTGAGGTAGCAGTTTTCAATAATTTTATGTCAAAATTCAATCGTTACTTTTTTTTCCCCCAAGGGATTCTCCTCCAGTTCAGCTTTTAAACTTGGAAGGAAGAGGGAAAACAAAATGAAGAGGCATAAAAGGAAGAGAAAGGCCTTATCTGTTCTTCTCCCAGCCCTCTGGTTATCACCTTGAGAATGTTCTAGCACCTGCTGAATGCACATCCCTGGGCTTTGAATGCAGTCTGGCCTGAGCAGTGAAAGGCTCAGCAGCTACAAGCATAACAACTGCACTGCAGGTTCTCCTCCTTAGGGTATGAAAGCACTTGCTAGGACCAAAGTAGTTCTGTGCCTGTGATTCTCTGATCTATCCCTACAGTTGAATAAATGCAGAATTATCCAAGACTTCCTCCAATAACCTCATCTTCTCTTCGTCCTCCAGATACTTTGCCTTCCAGTTTGAAACTGATACTGGAACTCACTGAACTACGCACTCTGGTTCCCTTAAAAAATGGAGGTAAAGTTACAGATCTCTTTTCTAAAGTGCTTGTGAACATATTTATCTTCACCCTAGTTCTAAAACATACCTGCTGAAAAACTCTGGCAGGATGTTTTGTTGCTTCTTCCACCCATTCCCTGCAGAGAGTTTGTTCTTTACCTTTGACAGACTTTACAGCTGCCAGGACAATAATCCAATTCTAAAAAAATTACTTTCCAACTTATTCAGACTCTAGTGCAAATACATCCTTGTGCACCAATTCATTAGTAGGAGAAGTCCATGGAAGAAAAGGAACTAATAGGAACAGAAGGAGGTCAAACAAGTATTTACCACAGTATCTGTACTAGCAGAGTTTTCACAGAGTTTTCCATGGGGAGTATAATTGGTTTGCCCCTGGGGCATATTTAATATTTCTGTAACACCAATTCTGAATTACCCAAACAAATCACTTCTATTACTAGGTTCAAAATCACGTTAGCTGATGACCTGACTTAAAACATCCAGAATTACTTTGCCTCAGTGTATTACTATGCCCATTCAGCAGACCTAGGCTACCCTCTAGTGGCCAGTAAGTGGGAAGAAATCAACCACAACTTGCACTGTAATTCTAAGATTTAACTGAGAATTTTTTTGCCTTCTCTTCAGTTGTGCGGAACCGTTACGCCTCAGGACTGGTTTTTGAGATGCTTCCCATATCAATCTTCTTTTGTTTTTTAAGTCTCCAATTCATTTCCTGAAGGCCAAAAAGTCAGTCAGGTGCAGGATGAAGTGAAGGAGCACTAAAGCAAGGGAGCAATCACAAGGATCCCTTGCAAAGTGGATGATAAAGAGGGCAGGCATCTGGGATGGAAATCGCAGTCACAGAATCCAGCAGCCAGTCAAGGAGGCTGAACCTGTACCTTCTCTCGTGAGCAGGGTGAGGTTTTGGGAACCGCACAAGAATCTCATGTTTATCCTAAGCAGGAGGCAGGCAAGACAAAAGCATCACCCTGGAGCACGCCATCATCTCCTACAGAAAAGAAAACCCTCCAAAAAAGCTCATGTGTTTTCAGAATCCTTTTTTGATGAAAACTAGGAAGTCTGGAGGTGTGAGTCTTTCATGTCTATCACCTCTCTCCCCTCATGGAAAGTAATTTCATTGCCAAATTTGCTTAGCGTCCTCACCATCATACGTTTCACTTGACAGCCCATAAAGCCTCAGAAAGCATTTTGTTTGGTTTTGCCTTTAGCAAATGAGATAGTCTGGTGGCTCTTTGCAAAGGCTAAACAGATTAAACTTCCATCTAAACCTCTCACAGGTGCTTCTTTTAGCTCTTAGAAAGCCTACTAACACCCAAGGTATACCAAGTAATTCTTTTGCAGTTAAAAGGAAACCAGAAACACAGCTCCTTGTTCACAAATCTTCTTGCAGCATCCAGGGAAGAATCTGATGATTTCAGTGGTACGTAAATGCATTTGCTGCATTTTGTTTCTATCAAATTGTGTAAACTGTGGGGGTATTCTACCTTGTGTTGCTGATAAGTTTCAGAAAACATTTGCAGTGTTGACCACCACGACAGACCATCTTTCTCACTTCCTTCCCCCCATAAAACAAACAAACAAACCTTTTTCTTGTGAAAGAGGTATGTCCAAAAATGACAATAAGAAACAAAAATCCAATTTTTATACAAGTACCTCTCAGAGCAACACACTTCAAGATTAGGCCAGTTTGGAGAGTAACATCACAATAAGGACAAGGTATTTGTTTGCCTTCCTCGTGTGCACAGGCATGAGAACCACAAGACAGAGATGAAAACAGTCTTGAGCTACTCACAAAAGGCCAGTGACCATGCCCTGGATGACATGGGCAAAGCTGGCAATGAGGCAGTGGGGACGAACTCCTGAAAGTAGGATGTGGAGGTGCAAGATGGGATCCACATCCCTAGCTCCCCTTCTCTCTCTGTCTCTAATCTCAAATGAAGTTGTTATGAACGTTACATTGCCCAAATAAATGTCTCAGTCTATACGGACAATGAACTGGAGGGAGAAAGTGGAACTGAGCAAGCTGCATCTCAGGCTTTTCTCTTTGCAGAAGCCATGAACAGATATTTGCTGGTACCTCACCTTCCTCATTACAGCAGCAGCGGGTTGGGCAGCAGACACACCGAATGTGGCAGCAGCAATACTGGGGGCAGCACTGGCACCAGCATATTCCTATCAGCGAGAGGAGGATGAGGCCACCGAGGACGATGAGGAGTACTGTGAGCCAGTCTGTGGAAGAAACGGAGAGAGAAAGAGGATCCTTATGTACCTGGGCACAGAAAATTACAAAGTACCTCTCCACCACTGGAGAAATCTTTGGGTGGAGAAGAAGTGAACAGGAGGAGATATCTGCTACCCAGGCAACAGAGCACTGGCACTTACGCAGCACAATTAGCTTAACTTCTTTGTCTGGATCGCCTGAGGTATCTCCTGGTGCTTCCACAGTGCAGTAGTACACGCCATGGTCCCACCACATGACCTCACTGACGACAAGGTCTGCCCCTGTGGAAGAAGGACTGAGAGGTCAGCAGACTATTTGGGACTGACACTTTCAGACCCCACTCTAGGAGGGTCATCTGCCTGCAGCCAACATTTAGTACTGCATCTCCCCTCTCCCCAAGGGTAGCCATCACCTTCAGACAATCCCCTCTGAGACCACTGAGAACTTCTGTAAATAGCAGTAACTGCCAGTTCTTTTCTCTTCATCTTACTGGAAGGCAACGATACTTAAAAGTGGGGCTAATTCTTTGTGCCATGAAAATACCAGAGTGCTACCAGGTGATGGGTGCTAAAACGGATGCTGCCAACACTGGTTTTGGAACAGAGATCATAGTCCCCATTAGGTCAGACATCCCAGTAGCTCCCTGGCAGTAGCAACAGCTACTGCTCCAGGGGCAGCATGGAGTGGACAACTATGCAGTACTTGTTAGAGGAAAACTGTTTTCTTGGCCTCCGGACTCCTCAGCTTACCTTTGCCCTTCAGCGAAATGCTCAGACATCCTCAACTCAGCCTTAGTTTGTAATACCCCCAGCACCCTTGGGCCAGCTGGGTACAAGGGAGCTGGCCCTTCATAATACTTATTCCATTGCCACCTCACAGAGTACGTATGGCTCCAGATGGCAGCCACATTTATGCTTCTCATCACTTAACAGGCCCAGCTATGGGATAGTTACTGAGCTCATTGCCTGCCTGTGAGGCCAAGCCACTCACGGTTCTGAATGGTGATCTTCCGTTGCCGGTAGTCCACACCCAGCACAGGCTCATTCTGTCCAGTATTTCTGGATGACAACGCGCACCTTCCGCTGGCTGTCATTGCAGTCATCAGAAGGGTCCTGGCCAAGAGCTAAACCGGCCTGGTACGCTATAAACACATCACCAGAAAAGATGCCAAAGTCATTATTTCAAATTTAATTTTTCTATTCCCCTTGTAAGCAGTACAAAAACTTCTTGAAAACTCTTGAATGCACATGTGCATTTGCTTTTGTTCACTAATAGAAAGCATGGCTTCAAAAGGGCAAGGACAAGTTGCTTTGGGGTGCTTAAAAGCAAAAAGAGGTAGAGCCACAGGAATGGCAGATTTTGAGAATGTAGGAGCTGCAGTGGAGATAGCTCATGTGCTCACAACAGAAAGAACAATGGAAAGAAGCTAATAATGGTAGGGAAAAGGGCAGGTACCAATGTGAAGACAAACTGCAAAGAAAAAAGTCACAGAACTCCCAGGACTACTGGAATAAAACCGTAAGTGTGTTTACCAAACAAAGTATCTAGACATACATGAACTGCCATAGGAATTATCTCCCTGTCCCTCCTGTATGCCATTACATGTTGTGGGGCTTCTAAAGACAAAAAGAACCCATCATCTGGGTTCCAATCCAGTTCAGGATTATGCGGAGAGGCCCAACAGCATTAACAGAGGACTAGAGGCAATTTCTGTCTCTCTCTTGAGAGATTCATGTTATAATCTAACAGCCAGGCATTTGGGAGCTGAGATTTGAGGAGACAGCATTCAGACAGCATTGTCTATTTGCAATGAAGAGAAGAAAGGACAAATTGTGAATTAATTTTTAAGGGCAAAATTAATCTAAGGTTGACCGTCTTAAACCTACCATCTTAAGAACCATAAACATCCCTGAAACAAGGCTGCACACACCACAATGTCTGCACGTGGAGAACTGCTGCAGGTACTAAATGCTAGCACTTAGAAGTCTTTCTGCCCTCCAAAGCACATGTATTTCTTCCTAAAATCAGTAACACCCAGTAACTGGACTCTAGCTCCAACCCTGTGCCCCATCATGGAATCATCAAGTCCACCTGTTGTGGGACCCTTGCTTTCAAATAAGCAGAAGCAGGAGGGGCTGCCAAGTTTGAGATGTGTCAAACACAGCTGAATCTCACTGCCTGCTGGTATGATGACGAGGAGGACAGATGAACTGATTTGGCTGGGGTTTCTATGAAACAGGATCATAAAGCCTTGACATTGCAGAGAAAATCACAGACATAACCTCTTTTTCTTGGAGCCTGGGGAAATACCACCAACCAGACCTGGCTTGTGGTTAGGAAGAGGTCAAAAGCCTGTATTCCCTAGTAAGTCTGCCTGCCCCTTGTTTTCCATTTGAAAATCTCCATTTGCCCCTTCTTTTTCCATTGCTTTTGGAGGACACCCCTGACACTCACAGGCTGAGTAGTAGTCGAAGATGGGGTCCTTGCAGAAGGATTTGAAGCGCCAGGTCACCACGACATCCTGCAGCTGTGCTGAGGTGCTGTAATCACACTTGAGGATGACAGCTGGCAAATAAGGTGGTGTAACGCTCAGTATCTGGCACGGTCACCAGCAGGGAGAGACAACCTGCAAACAAGAAAACAGAAGGCAGTCAGCCCTCAGGAGCAGACATCACATCACAACTTTCACTCTGGACCAGACCCACAACTGAAATAACGCTTCTCTTTACCTCACATGGGCCTCTACAACACCTCATTTTAACGAAGCTGTTGTTGTGCATGGTTAGAACTCATTCACAAAAACTTCCACAGCATTTTCTACCCAAGCAACAGCATCCACTAAGCAAGTTTTTACGAAGTTTCTCATAAGCTATGCTTTATTTTAGCCACACTCCAGAGACATTTCTATCTTGTTTAAACTTTGATAATAGAGTAAGTTGTGCTTGTCATAAACAATAGTGAAGTTATCACCAGTTGCCTTTGATAAGGCAATACAAACAGCTGCAGAGTGAGTGTAGGATGCCCTGTTTGGAATTCATCCCAGAGAACAAGGCACGGCTTATAGTACTATGCTAGGTGCTTTCTTGACTGAGGAGCATGACAGCAGGGAAGGAGGGAAGGAAAGGTTGAGGTCTGGAGGGCACCAACCAAAAGGGTCACGAACAAGCACTTGATTTGTATTGCGTATTCAAAGTCTTTCCCTTTATTCCATATACTTAGGATAAGCACAGGGATAAGGGAATATATAATAACATCTGGATCGCATCTGAAAGCATCCTTCTTCCACTGTCCTCTTAGACTGCATGGAGTATGCTCCAGGCAGTTTCCACCAGGTAGAAACCATATAGCTGGAGGTGCAGCATTGCCTCAACAAGTCGTTGCAGTAGGATACTGGCAGTGCAGTGCTTGCTCAGTTTCTAGCTTGAAGTAAGACTCTTGGCCAGCCAACTCGAAGCACAGCAGAGAGAGCTCTTTTGCTTAAAAAATGCCATGTGAACACAGAGAGGACCTGGTAAACTCTGAGTTCAAGGCTTTTCTGAAAAATAAAATATACACATGGACACTTAAATACAGAAATAGCAGCAGCTGTGCAGAATTCCAGCAAAAGCAAGGCTAATGTAATTTTTACAATGCTGTAGCAAGACAAGGGCTGGTGATTAGTTGCAGTGGCTCTTGTTTAATTGCATTGTATGTTAAGTTGTATGCACTTTGTTTCTGCTTTTGTTGTGAAGCAGCACAGGATCTGTGTGGGAAACCACAAGAAACCAAACCAAAATCCGAACCCTCAAAACCTTGATGTTGACGGCAACCAAAAGGATCTTTCCCATAAGAATTGTGACCTGCTGAGGCTCGTGGAAAAGCAAAACCCCCGTGTAACTTTCACTTACTGAAACCAAAGCTCTGTTTGAAAGGGCTCCTTTCAAACCCCGGAGGCACAGCGATGGTTTCGGTCCCCAAAAGCAGATCCCAAGCTCCCAGACCCCATGTGGCCGAGGTGCAAGAGCCCTCCCCCCGTGCCTGTTCCCTGCCCCGAGGCGAGGCCGCTCCCTCCTGGGCCGGGAGCCGGCCGCACCTTTAGGGCACCGAAACCAGCCCGTGCGCCCTGCTGGGCCGGGCACTGCTCCTCCGGCCTGCCCCAAGAAAAGCTCAGGACCGGGGCCAGGCCACCCTAACCCCAAACTGGGCAAAAAGGGGGCGACCCCATGCCCCCAGCCCCAGCCCGCTCGCCCCAAAGTGTGCCGGGGGGGAGGAAGGGGAGGCTGGCAGCCCCCATCCCACCGCCCCGCTGCACTCACCGGCCGGCAGGCAGGCCAGCAGCAGGCAGGCCAGCAGCAGGGCCATGGCGGGGCTTCTTCCTCCTCTTCCTCCTCCTCTTCCTCCAGCACCGGCCGGGTCTGGCCCGGGTCCTCCCCTTCCCGTGCCACCTGTCCCCTCCCTGCCGCCCGCCCCCGCCTCCTCCTCCTCCTCCGCACCTGGGCGGGCAGATACTGGCCTCACAGCTTCAGGAACCGCTTTAAAATATATACATATTACACATACGTATAATACACATATATATTTATATATATATAGTGTGCAGGTGGTGGTGGCTGACAGCCAACCTCCACAGCGGGAGGTGGCAGGTGGCTGCTCTCCTGGAGCTCAGGTGGAGGCATTTTGCTCCTGGAGCTCTGCGTTTGCAGATTTCTTCCCCAGAAACTACTGTGAGAGGAAATCTGGTGTGGAAGGGCTCCCACCTGTGCCCAGGAGCATTTCAGCCCCATGTGGGAGCTGTGGGATGCTGGGGAGTGTTGGTGTGGTCTTGGCTTCTTAGTGGCTCTGGTAGGGCCATCGTTGGGGTCACACCTTTAGTGGCTGTTGTTTCTGGAGGAGATGGCGAGGACGGGGTTGAGTGCTGAGCTGAACTGTGCCCACAAGGCACTTTACACAGGTGTGGGATGACTCCTGAGGGCACTGCACCCGCACCACGCCAAGCAGCACCCCTCCTGATGGCAGCCATGGGGCAGAACTCAAGCCACCATTATCCATGGGAGAAATGGATACGGATGGAGACCTCAATACAGATTTTTGTACGTGCTTTGCTGTCTTCAGGAACACCGACCACCGTGTGGGAGCAGGAGCAGGTAGGAAGGCAGCCCTGCGCTGTAAAGCTCGCCTCATTTCAACCACGTTCGTGCATGCAAATACTTCAAGAAATATTTGAAAACGCTGAAAGTTTGGGGAGTCAAGTAGGTTTTCCGCTTATTTTTTGAAAAGGCTGCCTGACAGGTATCTTCCTTTTCCAAAAAAAAGCCCCAAGCCCACACAAACCCCTCTCTAAAACATGGTGGGAGCAGCGCCGCCCTCGCCGCCCCCCGAACTACATCTCCCATGGTGCTCCGCGCGCCGCTGGGGCCGTTGCCTGGAGACCGCGGACGCCGCGCTGGAGCCGGCCCCAGGTAGGGGGCGGCGGGGCTGGGCCCGTCAGGGGCCCCCCCTGCCCTGTGGGCACCCCCCCCCTGCCCTGAGGGCAGCCCCCGGCCCCAAAATCCCGGCAGTAAAACACGAGGGGAGCTCTGCAGCGGGCATGGGCGACCCCCTGCTGCTGAAGAGTGGTGGGCTGTGTTGTTTTTGCCTGTCTGGGTGTGAAGGGGCGGTTAATTTTACTGCCCGCTGCAGCTCGTTTTTATGGCTTTGCCCTAGTTAATGAGTAGCCGCGGTGATACCGCTCGCTCCGTGTTTTCCTTTAATAGGAAACCAGTAACTAACCTTTATTCGCAGGGGCAGGCTCTAATAGACTCGTGATCATGCAAAGGGCTGGGTTAGTCGCCGGGCTGGACATCAGCGTTTGGTTTGATTTCTCCCATTGCGTAGGAAAATGCTTTGAAGATCCGCAACAACAGCCTGGCTCTAAGCAGATCTCTCCCGTCCCCTTCTTTTCTCTCTCTGTTGGGTATCAGAAGAGATAACGAGGCTGTAATAAAGGTGATGTGTCTCAATCCTTCGTTGCAGCCCTGTCCTCGCTGCCTCAGTCTCTGGCTAGTAAATATTTTATATGCTTCACCTTAATTGCTGCAGGAATTGGTGTTGTCTGTTAGTCTCATCTCAAGTCTCGTATTATAAGAGACAGCACTACTCCATTATGAAAAATGATTTCCTTGGGATTTTGGGTTGATTGCCTGGCACTGACTCTTAATAGTAAATTTTTGGTAATGCAGACACATAGTGACACACCGATGGGACTCGATAGCTAAAGCCTCATATATTTGTGTATATAAGCGCTTTAAAGATCTTGATTTCTTTTTGAGTGAAGTTAAGCTTTGAAAAACTCTGTTGTTTGCACACGTTCCTATCATTGGCCCAGTAAAGTGCTGATGTGCTGTGATGTGGTCTGAAGGCTAAAAGGAATTCTTAGTTGTTGAATAGTGTGGTGGTTTTCATTGAAAAAAAATAAAAAAATAAAGGAAGAGGCAGAAAAAATTTCTGAGAGAACTATATCTTGAGTTAAACAAGCATGATTTGACAGATAGGGAGAAATCTGACATTTCCAAAGCAGAGCTAGACTTGGGGAAGACGCTTTAGCGTGGGACAGATGAAAAGCATGTAATTCCCCATGGCAGACAACTCTCACGATAGCAGAGTGTTTCAATCCTTAGGTCAGTGTTTCCTCCAGGCCAGAAAGACAGCAGTGGCCAGCCCATGAAGCTTATAGTACTGTGCTAAAAGGAGTCAGGACTGGAATCAATACAGGGAAACAGAATCCTAGGATCAGCTGAGTTCCTTCACGATGAATAAAGGCATAAATGAAACAGTTGCCTGAAAAGAGAGTTCTCTTAATGTCCAAGTTTACTGAGAATTTGTGAAGAACCTTCTGTGTGTCAGGATTCTGTGTGGCAGCAAGATTGCCAACGAGCCATCTTAGTTTTGAAATAACTGAGAGAACATACCTGAATGAACGTATTTCTCCATTCTGAGGCGAATCTACGGCTTTTGAGAACGTAGCCAAGAGAACAGCAAAATTTCATTTTCCCTTAAATTGCCTAAGTTCACAGTTTGTCGCACTGGTCACTGAATCAAAGAAAACCTGAATTCACTCCTGAGTGAGTTGTCAGAAAGCAAGGCGGTAGAACTGATGTGGATCTGGTACAGCATTCTAAGTCAGTTTGTTGAATTACTAGGATTGGAAGGGAAAAAATAAAAGCATTGTGGTCAGGCATACTGTACGATTAGAGTTGACAAAAATTTCTGATTACCAGCCTGTTTTTTCCCCGCTAGAACTGTCATAGTCGCTTTACTTTCCACTATCTCGGTTTTCAGTATCAAAAGTCTTATTTCTAGGCTATTTAGGAAAACTTTCTTGTGAAAAATATACAGGAAAATAAAATCAGCATTCAGAGAGATGCATGCCTTTGTCACAGTGAACGTGCATGGAAGTTTTCTTGGATCAGTCAATCCATGAAACCCAGAATCTGCAACAAAAGTGGACATCCCTCTCTTGAACCTCCCCACAGTCTTAAAATCAAATTAAATTATTATTATTATTATTATTATTATTGGCACAGTGTTTGAATGCCATCACAGTAACATGCACAGTGAACACTGCAGTAGCTTTCTATGACTGGAACCCAGATACCGATGCAGGCAGAAATGTTCAGACCCTCTTTCAGCCTAAAGCATTTTCCAGAGTTGAATTAATTTATAATGAAAACTACTCCTAGTCTTAATTTTTAGAAGATAAATGATTGCTAATTAGTTACAATAATTTGAAATGTTATAGCACTTTTCTCTATGGATATCAAAACACTTTGCTAAGAAGGGTAAGTGTTATTATCTCATTTTTCACAAGAGATAAGCGAGACAGCCAAAGGTGAAACTGCTGCTGCAAATTGTTCACATCGTTACAGGGTTTGGAGTGAGAATCCAGGTCTCTGAACACTCCACCATATATTTATGCAACTAGTGTGAAACTATTCCTTCAACTGCAATGATATCAGTTCTACTAGCTCACAAAAAAAATCATGAATTTCATTTAAATGTTTGGAGATATATTGGAATTGCTCTCTTTTGATTTGTTTTCTGAATTTAAAACTTTCTGCATGGCTATTTTCAAGTCTTTCTCAGCATTCCCGAGCGGTAAAAGCTCATTTTAAGTCTTAAATGAAATTATGCAGCAAAGTCAGACTCTGGAAAAGCTTCAGAGCCTTCAGATGAAGATTGTGGGTTGACCATGTAGTGACATGAATAACACATCTGCTACATTTCTTTGCCTTCACTGTCTTTCTGGAGGGTGGCATTATGTTTGGACGCTTTGTTTTTCATGAAATACCTGAAAAGACTGAGACACCTCAAAAGATCTTTTTTTTTCAAATGGCTTCTGACTCAATGCCAGAAACAGGAAATGCATTTTTAGGGACTTTCTCTTGCTATTGAAGTCCAACTCACACGTACAAAGAAATTCACTTTCATTCTGGCTATTCTAAATATTTAGATTTCTTTTCATTCAACTAATGAATTTCCTGAATTCTGATCATATTTTACAGCTGTAGTATTTGTACAAAATTGCTCCCATGTTCATTTTAAGGTGGTTGTTTGTTTTTTTTTTGTTTTTTTTTTTGTTTGTTTGTTTTTGTAACAGAGATCCATATTTGAAATCAAAAAGTGAACAAATTTAGAATAAACACAACATTTATCTTCTTTGGCTTCTTTCAGAGAAATTTATATAAATGATCAACGTGCTTGGTTTGTGTTTGAAAAATTCCAATTTTCCCACCCCAGAGGACAGGGGTAACTAGGGAAATTGTAGCACTCTGAAAATAATAGTCTGAAAGCTGAAGAATTGATGGAGGGAGTTAGTTAGGCAGTTTATTTTTTTTTTTTAAATTGTGTTAATTTTATTAACTCAGTATAGAATGTTTTGAAGAAAGTCTTTTTTTTTTTTTTTTTAAGGATTCATCTCTTCTGCTTCTCCATTCAAGATGTCTGATGATCCCAGAATATCTGTCTACTGATATTTTTATGAAGTCTACCAGAAAGGTGGAAGAACAGCTTTGTTCTCTCAGAAACAAATCTCACCCCAGTACCCTAAATAGAAGCCCAAAAATGTGTGAATCTCTTGTTTCCCTTGTTACACAGTATTTAGATGAAAGTCTGTCTGTAGCCATGTACACAGAGCCCAGAGGTTTAAAAACTGAAACAACAAATTCACCCTGTAAAGTAGGACAAATCCTAGGATTATTCATATTTGTAGTATACAGACAGAACACAATTATATTTGGGAATCTCAGAGCATTTGAGAGGAAATGAAAATAGTCTACCTGGCAGATGAAGGCAAAAATACTAGCAATTCCTCTTTACTGCCACCAGGTAAAGAAGACATGTCATCTCCAGGTGAACAGGAGGGAGCAGATGAGAAGCCAGCAGAAGGTACACAGGCAGATCCCAGTGGTGTGCGTGAGTAATTTCTGCTGTTATACAATGATTCCAGTAGTGAACCTACAGCTGCTTCTGTCCAGTGTCTATTTTAGTCCACCCTGCATGTCATCTAACATGCTAGATTTAGATAGTATGGGTAACAGAATCCAGTAGTGAGTCTCCTGTGGATCTTTGAAAGATTTTTGATGCTTACGTTGGCATGTTACTTTGGCATTTGTTTGATCTTTCTATTATACCTTTTTCCTGTTATGGGATGTGTTTCCTTCCTACCTCCTCCTAAGTTTTCAAATACAGTCATCTGAAAGCAAGCTTCTGCCTATACTTGATGCTAAACAGCAGGAAGTCCATCTTTGGATAGAAGGGATTTTTTTATTTTATTTTTTTTAATTTTTACTACTATAGAACTGTATTAAATTAGTCAAATGAATTCATACCCAAGAGACAATGATCCCAATTTTCCTTTGCAGAAGAAAGCAGAACTAGTCTTCCAAAGGAGTCACCACCTGCAGAGGAACAAGAGGAAGATGTGGAGGAAGGGGTATCAGACACAGAGAGCATTGGTGGGTACTGCTTTCCACTGAAGAGATGTTGGCTTAAACTTAAATATCCCACTGCTTTCTAGTTTTCCTTTGGATGCTGTTGTTATAAACAGCATCTCAGACCGGTGCCATCACATTGCAGCTGAGTTTCACTGCTCATTTTCTTTGGCTTACCTCATGTACTTCATTTTATTCCTTCCCCTTGCTGGTATCTGACACCTCTGTTGGGTGAGAAAAGAAATTAGATAAGATTAAAAGCTTGCAAAATAGGTAATAGGAATTCAGTCTGAGGTACCTAACTTGAATGCACTTTTATCAAGTATGCATTTTCTGGGACAATGATATCTTATGGTGGTCTGCTGTATGTGAAAAAAGCAGAGTATGTACTTTTACTAGTTTTCTATGATTATGTACATTCAGTAGCTGCTGAAAAAAGATATTTGCAATACTATTTGGTTTCTAAAGCAGTGACCTACGCACCAAAGAAAGCTGAACTACTTCAGTACTAAAACCAATGTTCTTTAAAAAAAAAATCTCATTTTTTTTTTCCTGTAAGTTCTTCAGATTTGATTATTTACAGTGAAGTCTTTAAAAGCTGGAGTGAGGGCTTGCTATAGGCTGTTCAGGCCAGGTTGTCACTAAGACAAAATGCCCTCATTTTCAGCTATGCTGATCTATGCTGAGTATAAATTTTCTTTATATTCCCACTTTTGACATGCAGCAGATGATTTGGAAGAAGAAGATAGTACTGAAGTAGCCCCAGAGGCAGAAAAAAGCCCTGAGAAGATAGAAAAGAAAATATCGGAAACTTTCTTCTATAACAGTGAAGATGTACATTCACGGCCATTTGTCACTGAAGACTCTGGGATACCAATTAACCTTCTTACTCTTGAGTATCCTTTCTGTTCAGTAAAATTGTGCAGATTTAAAGCTAAGGATTTCTTAATATGTGTTCTTAAAATTGTATAATATGGAGTACCCTGTGTGGTGTTAGTAGGATACCTTTGGTTGAAACAGTTAGGAATCCTGACCAGTCATGGTCCTGGATGAGCTTAATCTTCAGCATTTTCTAGACCTCATAAATATTACTTATTAGGCATAATTATTACTTTAGTAAGTAATACCATAGGACTAGATCAATCAAGGTAATGTGATTAGGCAGAGAACTAGGTAAGAATATCCCCAGCAAAGCTCTGCCTTTATATACTGTTGTTCCCCAAGCAGCTGGGGTGAGTACACAGCTGTGTACCTCATATTTCTTCACAGAACTGCTAAGGAGGAAGTGCAGAAGAAACTATGTAGATTTGTAGCTTGCTGCTCAAAAGACCTAGGCTGGTTGAATGAAGGAAGTGATGCCAATCAATTGAGAGCTATAATAAGTTCTTTGGTAGGTACAGTCAATTGGATATGATATGTGACTTTCACAAGTGTTGGTGGGTTTCTCTGCAGACAAAGAGAAGTTGCTGTTGAAGACTGGATTTCCCCTTCTCTACAAATGCCTGTAGACATTAAAGAAGTGAGCCTGAGTAGCTCCTTAGTTTGAACTGTCAACTGTAGAATTGTTACGACTAATCCGATGCACATTTCTTATACTTGAAAATGGATTGCTGAACTGGTAGAATATGAATTCCTTGCAGCCCCAGATTGTCCAGCAGAGGCAAGAAGTGTACCCTGTAATGGAGATAGAAGGATGGATCACAGGTTTTAGAAGGTCTATACTTCTGCCTTCCCCTCAGTTATAGAGACTTGATATAGTTTACCTTCACTGTATATTGAAGAAAACTGTTGCCATCAGCCTTGTAGTCACCTGGCTAAGTATTCGTCTCAGTATTGACTTAAGCATTTCTGTCCACTTAGTAAGCTTTTCTAGAAAGCCAGTGTCAAAGCTTTTCCTTATTACATTCTTCTCAGACATTCTTTTGGATATGACTGCAAAAGAAGCGTAAACCTGATGGCAATGGACAGCCAAACACTGCTATATATAGCAGGCAACCAGGTAGTGCTCCTGGACCTGAAAACTGAATCTCAAAGTTATCTCCGGAGCAGCAGTGGAGGTGGAATTGGGTTTATAACGGTATGGCTTTTTTTTTTTTCTTTTCTTGTTTTAGGATGCTAGTCCCTCTCTATAAAGTGGCATGGTCTCTTGGTTGCTTAATGGAGTATTCTGTAGTTGCACATATACATATGAAAATGGTATGGATTAAAGGGATGTGTAGACCATGCAGTGCAAGCTACTTAGCCTGTCAGTATGATTGGCAGAGCACAAATATCTCTGTACCTGTCTCAGGCCCAGGTACCTTAAAGGACTGACATGTGTCAGCTAGGATTCATTTTAGCCCCTATTGCATGCATATTTTCTTATTTTAATATTTTGGCTCATCAACTTTTTTTCTTGAACACTTGAACTTCTCCTATTCACAGCTGATACTAATTTAGTGTCTTGCCTGCAGTTAAAATTTAGAAAATTAAGTATCTAGATAAATGAAGAGAAGAAGTATCTTGCTTCACTCTAGTAAACTCCAATGAAAAGCCTGAATCTCAAATGTTTTCTCTGGTTTTGTGGCACCTTTCCCTGTGAACAGCTCTGCCATCTCTCAGTTGTATTCCGTGTGAGCATGTTGTATTCCATATGAGCAAGGCTTTCAGGATACCAGCCTCAGATTGTTCTGCTCCATTGTAAGCAACCTTTCATTGAGAATTAAGGTACATCTATCTTCAGAACAACATAATTCAGGTTGGCTTTTCTGTGGCTTTCCACGTAGATGGCTGCTGATCCAAATGATGCACATGGTACAAGCAGCCGGTGGGTTGAGTGAGGTAGAAATAGCAAAAGGATGTATAATAAAGGAGATTATTGTACAGTTTCACAGTTTGTCATGATTCTGCAGTATATGCACAATAATTCCATTTTGTGTGCATAATGGTTTTACCATTGTGTTTGTATAGTGACTTTATTCTGGTATTGAGTAATAGATTGGCAGTTGTTCAGGACAAACATACAGAAAAATGCAACCTGGTATTTAAAGCAATATCTTTTGACTAATGTGTGAGCAAATACAATGACTTAACTGTCAGAATAAAGACAAAGATGTCATTACAACATGCAACAGGACTTTTTGTTTTTTTCAAGGCACACCCTACTAAGCAGTACTTCGCAGTAGGAGAAAAAGGAGAGAAACCAAACCTCATCATCTACGACTATCCTTCACTGAGGCCCTACAGAATTCTACGAGGTAGTGTAAAAAGTACTATTTTCATTTTACACAAATGGGCCAGTGTTTATAGATCCCAGCAGATGGAGTAGTGGTCCACTTTAAGTTTAGAAAGAATTACAACCCTTTTGTACTTCCCAGCAGAATAGGAAACACTGGTTTCCAGCTTTTTCATTATTGGACTGGAGAAAGCCTTTATTCAGTAGAAATAGCCAACTGAGAACTATTAAGTAGTAGGAAAAAAAAAAATCTGCAGTGAACATTGAGCTCCTTTTAAACATATTTTCCTATTGTTTTTTTCCTCTTTTCCATGCATGTGTGGATTGGGGCTTGTATGTTTCTTCAGGTGGAACAGAGAAAGCCTATGTCTTTGGCGATTTCAACCGTGCTGGCACTTTGCTGGCCAGTATTGGAAGCAGCCCTGACTACATGTTGACTATCTGGGACTGGAAACAAGAAAAGATTGTGTTAAGGTCAAAAGCTTTTTCACAGGATGTTTACAGGGTCACATTTTCTCCTGATAATGAGGAACAGCTAACTACAGTGGGAGTAGGACACATCAGGTACGTTTGCCAATTATGATTAATATGTATCAACTCTAAAGTCATAACATCTAGATGGTGACTAGCAGGAATGTATTGTTAGCAAACGTGCACCAGCAGTGAATGTTATTTTACCTATTGCAATTACAAAAACAAGAAAGTTCTTTAAGCCACTGATACCACCAAAAACTCACACTGAACTTTATGAAAGATATACTTCCACATACTGCCTCCTTTGGTAAATTCATGGATTCTTTTCTAATAAAAAAAAAAATGAGAGCTTCAAACTTTATCATAGATCTTCAAAGCTATTCCTATTTATAAAATAAATAAAATATATATTCCTATTTGTAAAATAGGAATATATAAAATTCCTATTTATAAAATAAATAGGAATAGCTTTGAAGATCTATGATAAAAGTTTTTGCTCACTGAGATTTTACAGTCATGCCCCAGTTCATGGTGGTACTTGTATGAAATTTAGCAAGGGACTTAGTCCCTTGGATTTACAAAGTTGAACATCATACAGTGGAGATAGTAAGGCTATAATAGACGTTATTATGATTACATGCATTGGTTGTATCAGGAAGGATATAGCTATGGGTGTTACACTTACTTATTTTAAATAATAGCGTAGTCTTCGTTCTATCCATGCCAAATCCTCCTCCCACGTTTTTCATAGAGGTAGGATATGGAAAAGTTTGTGAGGTTACAAAGTTATATCTTATTTTAAAAAGAAAAACCCAAGGTCTCCTGTGAAAAAAGAATAATAAATGAACATCATAAAATGACATCCCTGGTAAGATTATTATTATGTCTGAGAGAGTAAAGAGCATGTCTAGGAAGCCTTGTATCATAGAGGAATGTGTTTTCTATACTCAGGTTCTGGAAGATGGCTCTCACATTCAGTGGTCTCAAGTTGCAAGGAGCTTTGGGCAGGTTTGGAAAAACATCAGTGACTGACATTATAGGGTATGTGGAGCTACCTGATGGCAAGGTAAGTCAGAACAAGTTTAATTGATTTTGTGTTCCCTCTCAGGTTTTGATATAAAGTCTACTGAGTTAGTTGGAGAATTACTATTTGCTTCTAAGTGATACGAATTAGACCCTCAGTGCACTGCTCTGATAAGCTAATATTGACATTAATTTGCCAAAGAAAATGCTTGCATTGTAATAATTGAAAAGTACGGTTAATATTGTAGTTCCCAGACAAAAGATCTCTGTTGGCTTAGAGCTGGGGTTTCTCTAATGGGGTAGTGAAAACCTTAATGTACAGAAATAAAAAGTGTGTTAGCCCTAATCTCAACCATTTCAGTGCATGTAAATGATGTCGTATTCCTAAAAAGGTGAATCGTGTCTCCCTTTACACCTTCTCTTGGAAATATCTGTACATTGCTATTAATTTAATGCTTTTGTACAAGGAAGCCACAAATGTTAATCATATTTTTGCATATATTTCTGTATGGTTAAGTGCAGGTGCTTAAGTGCTTCTCTTCCTTTGCATTGAAGGTTATCTCAGGGGCTGAGTGGGGCAACTTGCTGCTTTGGGAAGGGGGCCTCATCAAAGTAGAGCTCTGTCGAGCTGGACACAAGCCTTGTCACAGTGGCCCTATCACCCAGTTAGTTTTGGACGAAGGAGAACTTACCACTGTTGGGCAAGATGGCTTCATTCGGGTGAGTTCTTTTGCTCTGCCTTTAGGTGTGCACATTTTTGGTCAGGAGGTGGAGCTCATTTATAGGGGCATTTTTCCATTACAGTTGCTTTATGAGAATGTATTCTGTTCTAAAAAAAAAAAAAGTCAGACACGTCTCCAGTGTAAATATTTGAATCAAGTATTGTTTACACAACATTTTCTGTTTCACAGTGGTAAAAAAAAATAAATAAATCACCTTCTACTAAAATAAATCAAAATAATTTTCAGTGATTCTCTAAAAGCTTTGGTCTTCCCTGCATTCTAACACTTTTTTTCATATGTTGTTTTGATTAATTTTTATAATTTTCAGACGTAGTAATACATTGGTGTTATTTCAAATGATAAATTATGGCAATACTTGAAATAAATTTTCTGATTATTTTAATGCTGAGGTTATTAAAGTTATTAGTTAATTTCTATTTCATTTTATCTCTGAGATCCCTGCAATGAAATAGAGGAACAATCAAAAGAAAAAGCATCGGGCATCCTGAAGTTAACACACAATTCTATAAATTAAGGTCAAAATGGTTTGCGTATCTATACCAGTTTCTGATCTCATCTGTCAATTGTCAAGGATTTTGCTATTTTGTTTACTTGCTCTTTAAGGGAAGACGTGTCTTCTGCTCATGTTTTATAGACCCAGATAATCATCAGGAAGCTATTCTAGACAACAGAAGGTTCCAAACACCCCGTTTTTGTTGTTGTATTTCATAAATTAATCTTAGCCCATTAGGAAAATTCACCTGATTCCAAGGTGCCAACTGACTTATACCACAGAGAAGAACATGGATGTGTTGGATTTCCCATTCTTTCTTCCGTGCTGCCTCAGTATGAGCAATGCTCAGAGCTGTCAGATATTTAATTTCTGTAGCTCTGACGTTGCCATGTATAGTTCTGCCAGTGCCAGGGCTGTATTTAATCTACTGTTATATCAGAATTGGAGAGGGAACTTTTGCATATATTTTGCATTGCACCCAATTGTATGAGATGATATTTGCTGATTCCTGTTTCAGGTTAGATTCAGAACAGTGAGGCATACGTGCCAGGTTTCATCTTCACCTATAGATTCTACCCTCCCCTGGTTTCTTATTATTTTGGATTTCCATATCAATTGTATATGAAAACATGCTCTGACCTGATAAAAACCCAGTCTCTTTTTTTTTTTCTTTCTAATTTTTTTTTTCATTCCATGAAGGTGTGGAACTTTGAGGCAATAGATGCTGCTGATTCTGTGGATGACACAGGGTTATTGGAGGTGGAACCTATGAATGAACTTCAGGTTGGCAAGAACGTCAGTCTGAATTTCATGTCAAAAGTTCATGACAATGGACAGCCCATTTGGTATGCTCAGGTAAGATGCACTCAAGTACATACAGCCCTGTGGAGAAACACAGAATGAGAGAAGTAATGCTTAGTTATAGCAGGAGTACCTTACAGGTCAGCATATCTCTTTTCTGTAGATTTCGAACTCGGTAACATGTGAGATTATGACTTGCAGAGCCAGAGCTGCGTAAGAGTAGGAGAATGTCAAAATCTATTATCAGAGTTCTATTCTCCTGAACTGATGGATAGGACTGATAGGACCAATAGCACTACCTTCAGTCATTTCCATATCACAGTGATAATCATGGAGGAACTTTTGAGGAGTCCTTGTGGGCAATTTTACTTCCATGTTGAGTTTGAAAATATTCAGGTTACATGTTTTGGTTTTGCTTCTTCAGGATGCCAATGGCGCAATCTGGAAGCTGGATTTGACTTTTTCAAATATGGTAAGTTCATTTTTCTTTGGATTTATTTCAATTCCTTTGCAGTTACTTCATTTAACTATATGGGATTCATCTACAATGAAGTTTGTGCTTAGTGAAGTTGCAAGCTGGAAATTTTAGCATTGATAAGATCTTCTTTAAAAAGATATTTTCATAACATTATTGACAATAATGATTGTGCAGGATTATCAAAAGTAATTATTGATTTTTGCTTCCTTAATTTGAATTTGGCAACTAAAATTTATCTTAAAGGAATTTTATTTTCATAAACTGGAAATAGAAGTTATATGAGTGCAGGAATTGAGTTCAAGGAGTACTTACATACCCTATCTAGTTAGGTGTATTTGAGACAGTCATTACTGTTGCCTGTAAATGACATGAAGAACTAGGGGAAAAAAAAGGAGAAGATGAAGTACACTTGATATGTTTTATCCAGCTGGCTACTAGTATTACTCCTGGAGATGTTTTTGATGAAGAAAGAAATGACAAAGGTAAAATACAGGCATTTAGTTTTTATTCCAGAATACGTTGAAGTAAATTGGAATTTTCTCTTTGATTGGAATTAAGTTCTGGGCTAACACACAAATAATGTTCCAAGAATTTTGTGGTAAAAAGAGATGTATAAAACATGGTATAAAAACTAAAGTAAAAGATAAATGACAAGTACTAGAATTCCTTGGATGATGAAAAGATCTCCAAGGCAGTATAAGCCTAGGACTGGGAGCATTTTCTTTGCCTTTAGAGCAATAACTCTGTATTGAAAATACTCATTTCAGGTCTGAAACCACTTAATGAAAGTGGTTTTCCTGTATTTCCCCTTATTTACACATAGAAAATGATGGGATTTTGAAACAGCTTAATGTTCCTATACTAATTCATTCATGATCTTCTCATGAACATTTGATTTTTAAAACAAGGAATTCATGCCTGCCAAAGGTACAGCTGGTAATAAATGCAACTCCAGCACATAGCAGAATTTCTGGTTTTCTGTTTTGCACTGCAGACCCGTGATCCAGAGTGCCTGTATACCTTTCACTCCGGAAGGATTGAGGCTGTGAGTGTCTCTCCTGTGACATACCTTATGGCCACCACTGCTCTCGATCGTAAGTAATTCCTTTCCTCTGATACCACTGTCATCGCTGTTTTTGCAAAGCAATGATGCTTGGTTTTGGAACTATTCTGTTTTGAACTGAAGTTGTGTATTTGCTTTTGAAAAGTCAATTTACCATCAACTGTTATTCTTGGATCAGTTCTTTTACAGTTAAGACAAATCATCAAAGTTTTGAAATAATACACTGGGAATGCTTAATCTTATAAGCCTGGGATATTAAAGAGAGAAGTTTTTAATGGGAAGCTTTGTAAATTCTGTTTGATTTGAAGGAGCAGCTGGAAAGATGACATTTGTATTGAATAACAGCATTTGTATTGAAGTTTCTGGATTGATAAGTGTTGGGATCTTTATTTTATAAGGAATTACATACATTTCTGGTATTGTGGAAGTCATTATGAATTAATATTTGTGGCTTTCTTAGAAAATGCAATAACTATCTTGCTCTCAACAACAGCTAATGTGTAATTACAGAGATTAGTTTAACTTATATAAATACAGCTATTTAGGCTTCTTACTGTTAGCTTTACCATGGTTTGAAAGAACCACAGGCCAGAACATTAACAATGTCATTCATGCTGCTCAGAAAATGCCACAAGGTCTTTAACTCAATTCTTGTTAGCCATATCTTGTAATTTGCCTGTGTTATACAATATATATGCACCTCTAGCCTGAAGACAAATTTGTACCAGTTGAGCAAATGATACTTAGGATATATGCCATCTGGAATGGAACTTTATGCAGACCAATGTATATATCTACCAATCTGTTAATTTCACCTTTGAAAATTGATTTTTTTGGACAGTCTCCCATTTTCATCCATTTAAATAGTTTGCTCCTTAGGCAATTCCAGTTTGTAGCATATCTTCTTTTCCTCTGTTGACAGTACAAATTTCCCTTTAGAGTAGGCCACAGTTCTGTGATTACTCAAAAACTGCACATGGTGGTCAGCATGGGACTTCTTATTATACCTCTCAGCCATGACAACTCATGGAAGTGCGTAAGCTGACGAGTGAAGAAAGCTTGTTTTGTTGATGAGCACCATGATAGCTGTGGTACTCTGTAACCACCAGGAATGTCTTTCCAGATGGACGTTTGGTACTCAAACAGAAAAATTAATAACTTTCCATTCTGCTTTTCATTCAAATAAATACATGTAGACATTTTACCATGAATCTTAAAATAGAAACGGCACTGCAAGAAATAAATCCCTATTGTTTCCTTTCCACACAGGGTCAGTGCGTATCTATGATTTCATCAGCAACAGGCAGCTGAGTGAAATTCAGTTTAAACAAGGAGGAACAGCACTGATGTGGGCACCTCGTGTTGTAAGTTTTTGTTTGTGTGTTAACAAAAAATCATAAAGAGCCTGCAAGCATAAAGAAAGATGCTCAGAATACAAAACCTTAAATAAGTTACTGTTTAGACCGTGTTGGAATTTACTGTAGTAGTATGTGTGCATAAGCTTTTGTAGTAGTATGTATGTAGTATATATATGCACAGTTTGGCTTTACTGTGGATTGTCATGTGTCCAACTTTGTGTCTTCATGAGATTTTAAAATCAGATCTCTGTATGCAGTCCAGGAAGAAATGATAGTTTATAGGCTAACAGCTTCTATTTAATCCAAGCCAAGTAATTGTCAATTAAAATGAGTTAGTTAACACATTTCAAAATGACAGCACAGACAATCCACAAACATTTGGAGATTAATCATAAAAAAATGTCACCAGAACTGATCATTTGTAGAGTGTGGGGTCTATCAGTTCTAGACATATTTGCTAATTTTAATTAAAATAGTGTCTAGTTATGTTCTTAAGGAAACATAGCAAGCCTGGCAGCTTCGTTGTAAGTAAATTTATGGAGGAAAGTGCTTTACTTGAATTTCCAAGGCAAGGGTAGTCATCATTATAGTCTTGTGACTATAATTCTTGTCATGCAGACCTGCAGGGATGCTATTAGGTGATGACCTGTACGTTCAAGAGGTAAGCTGATCAGCACAATAAAGTGTACATTACAAAACTGTTTCAGATCAGTTTTACAAAAGTTGGTACTAAGCATAGGCTGAAAAAATCAGAAGTACTTAGTCTAGCTAGCTTCTTTTAAAATCCCATTAGATAATTACCCATAGTTTAAAGTGCTTGAATGAAAATTTGTGCCAAGAAAATTTTGTCCCAAATATTTTGAAACACCTGTATCCTGTTACATCCTCATAGGCAAGCTGGCAAAGTGCAGGTTAGGTAAGTGAACAGTGATATGGATTTTAAACTGCCTGAATGGCCAGGCACCAGAGGGTAGTGATGAGCAGCACAAAGTCCAGTTAGAAGCAAATCTCTAGTTGTGTACCCCAGGGGTCGTTACAGGGACCAATGCTCCTCATTAATGACCTGGATGCTAGGACAGAGTGCCAGTATGTTTGCGGATGATACAAAACTGGAAAGGAGTGGCAAGATATAGATAGACCAGATAGCTGTACTGCCATTTGGAGGAATCTGGACAGGCTGAGGATTTAGGCTGAGAGGAATCTCATGAAGTTCAACAAGGGAAAATGCAAAGTCCTGCATCTGGGGAGGAATACCACAGACACGAGTACTGCTTGGGAGCCTACCAGCTGGAAAGCAGTTCTGCAGAGAAGGATCTTGGGATCCTGTTGGATGTCATAAAATCTGTGCCCTCATCTCTTCACAAATCGTGCTCACATTCAATGTCAAATATTATATTCGGGGTAGTATAATAATTCTTTTTTGACTTCCAACTCTTCTGCTTAAGAAGAAGATAGTGATATATAAGTATATAAGTATGAAATGACTTTTGCTCATAAATTGCAAAGACATCCTCACTGACACTGCCAGACCCAATGGCATGTCATGAGTAAAAAATAAAATAAAATATATATATAAAAAAATTAAAACAACCTCCTCCCACCCCTAGTCTTCCCCCTCCCTTTATGGTAGCATATTAGAAAGGATAAACAAGATTTCCCATGTATGGAACATTCTTTGTGCTTTAACGCTGTGTTTGTGTAAGGTGAGTTTGAGTTTAACACCAAAAGACGTGACACAGATTTTTATTCTAAACTCACTGATGTACGTTGTGATTTTTTTTTCTTCCTTCTTCCACTCAAAGGTAAATCCTAAAGGAGGTCTAATTGCTGTGGGCTTTGAAGATGGCGTTGTCCGCATAATTGAAATTTATGATCCCAAAGGACTGGCTGCTCTCAGAGGACGGACCAATATAGGTAACACAGAGATAAATCTGAAACAAGCTTTCAAACCTCATACTTCTGCAGTTACAGCCTTGGCTTATGAACAAAATGGAGATGTCCTTGCCACAGGGGTATGTATCACTTCATTTGGTTATTTTTATTAGTCCACAACTGTAGAGATTATTTAAAGAAATAAGGCAAAGTTTGGTTACTGACAATGCAGTTATGCTTCCATTATTGCTGTTGATCGTTTCTTGTAGTTCTCTGTAGTGCTGGGGGAAGAGATGGATCTGTTTGCACATACCTTTGTTGCATGAAGGAAACCAACCGTGCAATCCATACCATCATTCTGTGAATTACTAGACTGTTTAGTATGAATTCTGTAATCCATTTTGAAGATGCATTTGGCTTATTTTTGAATTAGTTTAGTAGTACCTTGGATTTAGTAAAAGCAAGTCCATTTGTACACCACCTTGGCAGCACTCCAGCTGCTACCCAACACTGGTTTGCATGACAGCATGATTGACCGATCAGGTTGTCAGTGTGCCTGCTAGGCTTTGAAATGACTTCTAGTCAGTGGGGTGTCTCTTTTTAAAACCTGGCCTTCAGCCATGAGCAGTTCAGTTGCAGTTTCATATTCCTTGATTGCCATGTATTTCATTTAGTGCAAAATTCAAGCTGCCGTGCTTCATCTTGTGCACCAGTTCTGGATTTTCTTAGTATCAGAGATCAGCCTGTGCTGTCATGTCTTACAAATCACCTCTGTAACAAGCAGGTGCATGACAGCGTTGCACAGTAAATATATGCGATACTGAGATGAGAGAAATATAAATGAAAGCAGAAGGTGAAGAGAAGAACTCAGGGAGTACTTCAGAGAGCCGTTCCTAATATGAGGGTTTTCTGAGAGCAGCAACAGTCGGGCTGCTCCACTGTGGTGGCCTCAACGCAAGCAGGGGCAGTGCCCCAACACAGGGCACAATCCCACAGGGCCTGAGCTGGGTGAGCAGAGCAGGGCTGGTGACAGCAAACACTTCCACCAACAGTCCAGCAATCACGAGTCAAAGGCAAAGTAACAAGACACGTAAGAAATCAAAGGAGGAAATCCAGAGTATTGCTTGGGAACAGCAGGATACTGGGCTGGAAACAGGCATGCCTATGACATAGCTTATGCCAGGGCTGAAGACCTGGGCCCAAGGTTTAAGTGAGCTCCTGGGGCAATGGGCACAACATGCATGGATGGAGATGCCAGCAGAGGCACATCACAGTGATTAAAGCCTATGAGTGCAGTCAGGGCCCTGGAGGAAGACGAGCAGGATTTTTATTCCCCCTCCAACTGTAATCAGTATGGAAATCCAATTCTAAGTTCCAAGGCACTTGTAGGTCCTCGTGTCTAACCACAAAACATCTGAAGTATGTATTTCATGCAGTACTACAGATTTTTTGGTCAGCTTTCATTCAGTCATTCTCTTTTTTTCTTTTTTTTTTTCATCAGAGTAAAGACAAAACAGTTTTCTTTTTTGCTGTTGAAGAGAAATATGAGCCAATTGGATTCATCCATGTCCCCGGGCCTGTGCAGGCATTACAGTGGTCTCCACCTTCTCATGTGAGTAACACGTTTGGTTTTTTCCTTCCCTACAGTGTCAGAATGTCATTTTGAAAGAGCTTCCATTGAAAACAAGGATCTATCACTCTAGCCATGTTCTCTATAGACACTGCAAAAGATGTTTTGCTGCTTTGTTTTGCATGCTGCTTCGGAATGACAGATAGATCCTGTGTAGCTGAATGTCTGATTCAGTTAATTTGGACATAGTTTGGACTTTGGATAATCAAGAGCAGAAACATGTAAACCACAGAATTTCGGTCAGTGTTTTGAGTCGCTGCCTTGAGCTGACAGGTGCCTTAACTTTTGGAATGTCTTTTTTTTTTTTTCTTTTTTCTTTTTTTCCTCAGAAGCATTGCTTGAGTATTTTTGCCTGTGTCTCTTGCTGATGTTAAAACAGGCAATTGCAGACAAAGCTTTCAGAAGACTTTTGGGTACTTCTCAGAACTTGTGTTCTCTATTTGAAGTTGTTCAGAGTTATTCAAATAGATTCTTGCTAATACTTATTTTAAAAGTCTGATGAGGTTAGAGTAACTTGTGATTTTTTTGTCAGTCCAGTAATCTTATTTAGAAGGAGATAGTTATTTGTATTTAATACTGACAAAGTGGCCACCAGGATGCATTAAAATGGTGTACAACAGCAAACTGTAGCTATTACTTGTTTGTGAGAACAGATAAAAACTGTGCTGGCAAAAGAACTCTTGCTGATATGAACTCTGTCTTACTATAGAAATGACAGATCTTGATCTGACATTTACATTTTGGGTCCTTTCCTTGAGGACAAGATACTCCCTACTACTAAAAATCACACAATGTGTGTTTGATTTTTTCAGATTCCTCTTAGTAATTGTGTTTATCAGTATTAGGTCTCCACTGCTGGATATGAACACTGGCTAAACATGATTAAAACATCTGAGTTTTTTTTTTCCCTCTTTAAAATGAGCACCATGGTAATTAAAGACTATAAATCTAATGAATGTGTTTGTAAGGCTGAAATTTTATACAAGAACCATATAATTCCTAGCTAAGGTTTCCATAGCAACTCTAATATACCCCCTCTGCACATTTTTAGTGACGGTTCAGATAAATAAGACTCTGTCTGTTCTCCAGATAGCTTATGAAAATTGAAACTACATAAAGAGTTGCCTTTTAAAATCTCAAAACACTGAAAAATTATTACCTTCACCTTGGCTATTCTTCCTTACTTGGTATTTTAAGGGACCTGACAGGTAGCAGAAATTTAAAAAACCCAAACAAACAAACTGAAAGGTAAATAGCATCTGGCAAGATTCCCAGCCTAGTCTTGAACGTATTAAGGGTTTTAGGTAATATAGAAACATACAAATTTTCAAGTAATTTCCAAAATAAAAATCTCACCTCCTAACTTATGGGTCAGATCTAGCCTTCAATTTAACCAAACTCCCAAAATACCATTGTGATGCTTCCCTGCTAGATGGTGTCAGAATGATAGCTGTTTTGTATATGGCAAGGACTTCAATTTCCTTAACTTTGCCCACAATACACAGGATAGGAAAGGCTCAGCGATTTCTAATGTCCATTTAAAAGTGTCCACTTAAATGACAGCACAATTAAGAGTTAATGCTGCCTGGCTGGAGCTTGGTTTTGTGCCTGTTCATGTACTGACTTTTTTCCCTTTCTCCCAATTTCATTTGTGCACCTGCCCCATACTTGTATTTTATGTGTTTTTGTACAGGTGGAGAGCATGCTGCTCATCCTTTGTGAGAATGGCTTTGTTCTCCAGGTTCCTGCTCCTGTCCCTGAGGAACAGGATACAGCATCCACCTACCAAATCAAAAACCTGCCAACACAGTACTTTCATTTTTATAGCATTAAATCCCGAATCAAGGTAAAGTACTCTCCTGCGGAGGAATTTCATGTTCAGAGGACAAAACTACCTAAAAAAGTTTCTACTCCCTGCATTAAAGCATGTGATTTTTGCTAAACTTCTTAGAGAGGAAGGCAAGATAGAGTCCATCTGTAGTTGTGTTATAACATTTAGATTTACAAGTTACTGTTTGTTTATTCAAGTAGAAAACTGTCAGCATGATGTGTATTTCTATTGGAATTAGAAGATAATGTTAGTGAAAGTGAAGTTAGCACATTAGTTTTTAAAATATTTTCATTTCGGTAATTTTCAGAAAAAGTATGTTTCTTGTGGTTGATGGTAACCCTGTAGGAAATTCCTCTGAGCAGTCATAAAACACCTATGTGGTCTCTCTTAAGGCAAACATGATATCTTTTTTTTATTTTTGGCAGTTATATATTTCTGATTTTTTTTATGCTGTTACAACTTAAGAGGGGCATTGTTTTTTATGTGAAAAACAAACATTCGATATTGAGATCTATGTATTTCTGAATAAGAACTAGCTTTTTGGTCCAAATCAGGTAACATTGTTGGGAGACACTGTAATTCTTTTAAAAAATAGAAAAGGCTTCTATGGAGAGAAAGAATATTAATTGTCCCCCTCCTTTTTTTTTTTTTCCCCATTTGGGAATAGAACAATAATTAATAAGTTGCAACAAGGATGTTTTATATAAATGAAAGGAAAGCTATTTAACGGTAAGGATGGTGAAGCACTGAAATTAGTTGAAGAAAAAGAGATTTCTTTGGATATTCTGTGTATATAATGCCAGGACCTTCTTGGATTGCATTTATTAGGCTCCTCCAGTCAGTTTCATGTCTCTGTGTTTCACTGTTTGTTTAAACAGCTGGAAGAGGAGATTGCACTGAGAGAGAAAAAAAAGCAGGAGAAGGAGAAAGCAAGGCTTGAATGGATAAAGCAGCAACAGGAGATGGGAAAGGACATAGAAGAAGAACCTGAAGAGGAACCTGAAGAAGAGCCATTGCCACCTCTCTACATACCAGAGGAGCCCAGTCCCATTCTCTGTGGGTTTTATTCAGCACCAGGGAAATTTTGGCTTTCCTTGGTAAATCAATTTTTATTTCATATTGATGGGATTGCAAGATGTGGCAACCTTCCCCTCACATCTGGGTATCTTAGAAAACTCATTTGAAACCTGCCATCTCTAGGACATGGATTTTCTGTCATAGCTGATGTTTTCGGTGATGTTTTTGAATTAAATCAGTAGTGCCACTCCAGCTCAGATTGCTCAGTAAATTTCTAATAGATACTATTCTTTGTGATGCCTGAATTGGGCACAAAGGCTAACCTGTCCCCTCACTAGCAGAAGGTAGAATTTGACATATTGGTAGGATGGGTTGTATTGCCAGTGATCATTATAGATTTTCTCTATGGGTAAATAGGATCTCTCATTGTTCGGAAGTAACATTTCTTATCCTACAGTAGATCCTTAAGAAAGGAAAAAATATTTAGAAGATTGCATTTACCTGGTCAGCTGCATCAGTGTTCTTTTGTCAACATTTCTTTATGGTCCTTCTCTTCAGGGTGGATATGACTCAGGATTCCTCTATCATTGTGCATTCTCCTCAAATCAGCACCAAGAAGACCCTGAACAAAGGCAAGATGAACCCTTTGAAGTTATTCCTATTGAGGATACTGACAACAATCCCATCCACCGGATCTCGTTCTGGTAAAACAGTTTAGTGTAACAGATAGCTTTGTTACAAAGCTTAATGATACTGAACTTGGAAAGGAGAAGGGGACACTGCTTTGTCCCTTTTTAATTGTGGGTCAGTTCTAGTACGCAGGTACTCTCCTTGGTTCCTCAGGCACCAAGTTTCATTTAAAATTCATAATGAACACAACTGGACAGTGTATCTGACAGAATATCTAAGCCCTTCAAGATGAAAATGTCTGATTTCTAATTAAGTATTGATTAAGGCTCACACATCCTAGCTTGAAGATCTCCAGAAGAACCATTAGAAGTCTCCACTATCCTTTTAATTGGATTGCAAATTATGATCACCAGACCACTGGTTCTCTTCACTAGCTAGCAAAGAGGGGACACAATTGGGCCTTGAGGAGAACATGGAGGAATCAGTCTTTCCCTCTTGTCTAAAGAGTAGAGGCTTCCCAGGACATTCTGTGAACTGCACAAATGAAACGAGTGAGCTATTTTCAGTCTCCCAGTGTTTCCTATAAGACTAGGCATGAGCTGCTTCTAAGGAGGCAGGTTTAGTTCAGACTTTAATCCACAGCTGGCTGCATTCCAGTTGGCCACCATCCCTAGTAGATGAGGATTGGGGAGGGAAAACTGTTTTTTTTATCTCTAAACTTGTTGTCTTCTACACTGTCCAATTGAGGGCTGAGACCAGTTCTGCGACACCCAGTAGATGCTAGAACATTACTGAGCAAACAGCTGGGAAAAAGGCTGCAGTAGTACCACACATACTTTAAATGGTCCAAATACTTTGCACACACAAAGCAAAAGTTGGAAAGTCTACATTTATTCAGCTAGATTAGCTCTTCTTTAGAAGCATTGTGTTTTGAGTTGTGGCCTTACTTGTTGCGAGTTACTTTCTATTATTGTTTCTGGTTGCTTATTTGACAGTACCAGCAGACTATTGATGTTCTGTGGGATGCAGAATGGAGCACTGCGTGTTTACGCTCTTCAGGATAAAGACCTCTCAGCAAATACCCTGAAGGAATACTGGTCCTTCAATGTACATGACAATGACTATGGCCAGATCCGGGGGATCTGTTCTAGTTATGATGATAGGTTTCTGATTACCTGTGGTGAAGATGGAAACATTTTTACCTTCAACATCTTGTCTCCAGAGGATATTCACAAAGAGCTAAAAGCCAAAATCCCCTCTCCTAGGGTAAGTCACTAAATGAAGATCTCCCAAACTCTTGTTTCTATCATATGGAGAATTATAACTCTGATTATAGAACAACTCTGAATACATACATACTGTGCCATCTTCTTTCACTGAACTAGGTCTGTTTGCTATGAAACTACAGCATATGGCCAAAATCCAGTTCAATTAATTGGCATCATAGATCTTTTATAGCAAAAGCTGAGGTTTCCCAAACGATTTGGGAGAAGAGTTATATTGCTTGTTTATTAAGGTATATTTTGCAATAACTGCATTGCTCCTTCTCAATGTTTTGTGTTTTTCTCCAAATACACATAGTATGTGTGGTTCATGTATCATATTGTACTGTCTTTTTCTCACTCAAAAGTATAATCATAGGCATACCTAGGATGGAAATACCACAAGCATTTGGCAAAATTAATATCTGTCTTTGATTTTATTCCAGTAGAGTATGATTCTGCTTTCGATGGGGATTCTAGAAATAACATTGGAGAATGCCAAATGTATAGTTTCTCAATGCTCTTGGTACCATTTACTGTACAATTTATAGGCTGGAATTTTTTTAAATTTGCAAAATTGCATAGGATGATGATGATACTGTTCCTCTTTCAGTGTTGTACAATGAAACATATTTAACTTGAAAAAAGTAATGAGATATGTTGAGTAAAGAAGTACTATCATGTGCAATGACATTTGTGTTGGTTATACGTTTGGTACAGTTAAAATTTTAATTTTACGACACAATAAGTGTCAAGATAAAACAAATGTAACTTTTAAATATTTTTAATATCAGTCAGTAGCTAGTTTTTGAAAGATGCATAGTGAGGGAGACAGAGGAAATTGGGACTTCAGTAATTTGGTTAAATTGTTCAAGGCCAGTTGGAATTCTTTACCAGTGTCACAAGAGTATATAACACTAGGAGTAGACTCCAAAGAATTTTTTTAAACTAAGTGAATGATGGAAACCTGTGGTATCAGAGCCTTGCTAGCTCCTGTATTACAAGTAGTAATTAACATACAATTATAAAGCATACATACAGTTATATCATTTTGAATATGTAAGTAGCTCTATATAAAGATCTTTACAGTTAATTGCTATTGTGCAGGCTAGGAACGCTGCTTAATGACCACCCTAATAGAGTTTTTTCCTTATCAAAGTAAATCTTCATTAAGTATCTATTCTAGTTTTAAGTCATGTGGAAGATTTTAAAAATTCCATCATCATTAAACTTAATGAGATTCCTAGAGAATCAAATACAAGTCCTCTGAAACTAATTGAGTTAAATTACAGATCAATTTAGTACCACTGTATTCACTGTAGGGTGATAGACCCCCCTCTTGTCTTAGAGCATGATTTCCTAAGGAAATGAGGCTTGTATGACTGCACTGTCCATCCATCTGTCATTCCTCACAGCTAATAATTGTGAACCCATTACACAGTCAGCAGAAGCAAACCAGATGAATTACACGTGTAACTTGGAATTAGCCTGGGATACGATGTCTCTTGTCAGCCTGGCAGTTAGAGGGGACAAGAGAATTGGGTCTGTGGGATGGAGAACCAAAGATGTTATGGGACAGAGTGAAGTTGGGACCAGCAGTGATTTAGGGGTTAATGTTGATGAGGAGATTATAGAATTTTTGTTCTCTGTCCCCAAGAACTCAGCTTCGTTTGTTCTTTTCCATGTAAGCCAACTTAATTGTTTCTTGTTCTTGAAACATCAAAGCCTGGTATTTAAGACCAGTAGAGCAATATTGATCATGAAGGGTTCTTTTGTTTTTCTGAGAGGAAACTCTGTCTTAATGTTTGTAAAAGCTTTATTGTCTGTTGAAACTATTATTGCTTGTTTAAAGGCAGGACATTTTTATTCCAGAGTGGTCTTGAGATGGAGAAAGCTGCTGAAGACATTGAGGATCCCAATGCCTACAAGTAAGAGATGCTTGGGTAATGATGAAAGAGATGTCCAACTGTTGAAAGCTCTTTCTTCAGACCACATACCTCCTTTTTCTTTTTAAGAGAAGAGGTGATCACACTGAATTTGGATTATTTCCTCATTACACACAAAGTTTTGTCACACTTCCTTTCCATTTCTTCTACTTTTCTGTGGAAGTAATTCAAATATGGTACTGTGAGACTTATTTAACTTGAGCCTACAGAGACAACACAAGGTGGAGGTCAAAGTCCCATTATGTTCGGGCTGTATAAATATACAGTAAGTGGCTTCTTCCTAAGTTACCTTCAGGGCCGCTGAGTTCACTGGAAGTTTAAGCCCATCAAGGAAATCTAGAAGGTTACATAAACTTTAATCTAAAACCTCATCTAAAGGAGGGGGAGTGAGAGAGCGGTTGTGGGGTTTAGCTGCCCAGTACGGTAAAACCACCACACTCTATTCCATTGGGATAATACTGTTTCCTCCTCCTTGCATTTTCAGCATTGAGGAAGTCAAGCAGAAAGAGGAGTATGAACGGATCATGAAGGAAGCTGAAGACAAAAAAAGCAAGAAAAGAGAGGAGTTAACTGCTCTGAGAGAAGAGTTTCTTTTTCTGCTTCAGAAGAATCAGGAGTTGCCAAAGCACATGCAGCTGCACAGAGACGTATGTTTGTTTTTCATAAATCATTTACCATAAGAGGTACCTTCTAAAATGTTGCTGTCCTATGTGTTGGGGCCAAAGATGTCTAGTGCTATGGGTTGATGCACTTGACTGTGTAATTTTGCAAGATTTCTAAATCACAGCTGATGATTTGTGCCATTTAAGAAGCATATGGGGGAAAAAAAAAAGTGATTATCTGTGGAGATCTGAATAGCTCCTGAAATAAATAATTATGCCAATGTGCATGAAATGCTGGCATCAGGTCCAAAATATTTCTTAGCAAAACTTAGCAGATAAGATAATGTGATGCTGGGTCTTCTGTGCTTCTGCAGCAGTACGAGATGGACCATAGGATCTTTGAGGATCTGAATAGGCAGACAGCACAGAAAATCCAGTTAGTGGAAAAGGAACTAGCTTGGGAGCATGAGAAAAACTTGATTGGACTGCAGAAACTACGAAATTGGTAAGTACCTCTTTTCTTCTACCTCTCCCACTGACCTTGCACGGGGCTTATTATTTACTGATTTTTACCTACCACAAGGAAAAATATATATTTTTTTCCAGTCATATAATAAACATTTATATTCTTCTCTTATGGTTATGCCCTTATTTGATTTGAAACATACACAAGAGTATACATTGATTTTTGGGTGTGCTTCTTTTGAATCCTTGGTCAAAATTCAGATGTTCTTATCAAGAAAGTAGCTTAATTCTGATTTACTTCTTTAAGAAGAAAGGTGGTCTTTTTTTTTTGTTGTTGGGAGGAGAATAAGTTTGCGTTTTGCCAGTAAATGTCAGTAAGAACCAGGAATTCTTACTGGAGCTTTGAAGTGCAACCTATGAAACAAACTCCCGTTTTTCAAGTATGCTGCATGTCTGTCAAATACTTTCATGTCATCGTTAACACAATATTCTCTATACAGTTTAAAGTTATGAAATTAACTTCCTCAAGAACGCAAGTTAAAGCACAAAGCAGTGCGTTTTTGGTTGCTCTTCTTATAGCAAAAGATGAATTCATAAAAATAAATGCACAATAGAAATAATACACAGTAACAAAAACCATTTAGTCACAGAGAGTGTACAACTGGAAAGGAGAATTGAATGAACATATTTTTAAGCAGCCCTTCATGGAAAATGAAAGATACTCTCATGTAGAAAGAACCTGGTATAAGTTTTGATACTGGGAGCAGTGTTACTATATTTATTCTTGAGCGTCTCTATTCCTACATCAGATAAAAGTCAATAGATGGTGTCAGATGTCATCATGCTCTTATGTAGTTACTGTATTTGTATGTAATGATTGTGTATGTAATAAGTAAACTGCTTTACTCGGGTCCTTTTGTTGAAGGAAAAATGGTAGCTTGCACCTACTGACACCAGACAGTTTTGTCTAATTTACCTCTTCAGGTTTCGGTCCTCACTGGAATTTGACACCCTTGTTGTTCATGCTATTCAAAGCAATCATCAGATTTCCACCTACAGACTTCTAGCACTCTCTGAAAAGTACCGCCAAGATATGGAACATCCATCTTGGAGGAAGACAGTACTTAAGCGGGCATGGAAAAAGATGGAAAAAAAGGAGGCCGTCAAAGAGGCAAAGCGTAAGCATAGGGCTAATGATGGCCTTTTACAGTTTCCCAGTAATATGCTTTTGTCTTTCATCTCAGTTTGTTTTCCTGAGTCCAGGCTAAAGAAATGATAATTCCTCCAGGTATGGGTAAAGAAATATAACTGTTGTTTTTTAGTACCTACATACATTGTAACATACATACGTAGTTTTCCACATTTAATGCAATGTCAGCAATCACCTGTCAACACTGTGGGTAGAACTCAACTAAGAGCTGATTCACAGAGCTTGAATATGTTCAGAACATCCACTACAGTGGAACTATCCTGGTGGACACCAATTTTACAAAAGTTGTCCCAGGGAGTTTCCAGTAGTTGAGATTGTACTGTGTTGCATGGTATTTACATTTTCACATGGTTATTTTTTGTTCAGATGCTAGAGTTTTTGAGGAGGAGGCCGAAAAGGTGAAGTCAGAGGTCCAAAAGCCAACAGCACGTTTTATAGAAAACAAACGTAAGCAAATCAGAAGAATTGCTGAGAAATCCAACAAGGTGAAAGCTAAGATAATGAAGAGGAAAGCAGAGTGGGAAGAACTGTGAGTCTTAATTGGACTCTGTGCCCTTTTAGTTCTGCATCTTGTCTGAGGTCAAACGATACTATTTAGCTGTTATATGGCACTATCAAATCTCTGCCTGGTTTCTTATATTCCTAATGGGTGAAATTAAAATACATGAGGCTCTGTGTACCTCAGAGTCTCAAGAGACAATTGAAATCTTTTAATTTCCATGGTTCTTCTAAAACATTAAACAACTTGAATTCAGCTACGTGGCTGCATCTTCATATAGGGATTAAGAGGGTATCTAAATCAATCATGATTTAGGGACACCTAGACCATCACAGTCAGCCTCTTCAGTTAACCCTACCAGCACCAGATATACCAGATGCTGCAAGAGCTGTGGGTTAAGTTAGTTACACAAGAAGCCCATTACCTACTAGTGCGTTGTTTTTTTTTGGGGGGGGAAGGAGGAGGGAAATGTCTGAATTTTTCTTTCAAATGTGCAAAGATATCCTTTCCAAAGTAGTCACTGTTTTCTGAAAGAGGTATGTGATTCTTTCTTGATCCTCCCGAGCCTTTCTGCATGCATCAGAAGGTATGAAGTGACCCTGTTTTGTACTGTATGCTTTCTGTCCCCATCTGAATGTTTTCTGTCTTAAAGTTCATCTTTGTTTTGTATCTACCAGATACAAGAGCAAGCCTAGTGATGACTATGAAAACCCCGAGGATGTTCAGGCCATTAAAGAAGCACGGGAAAATATGGGGTGTTATAAGCTGAAGACTGCCACCGATTACAGAGTCCCTCAGCACGAACAAATGAAAACTGAAAAGAAGGTGAAGCAGCTTGAATCCTTGGAAGTGTTGGTATGTAAACTGATTCACTGATGTGGATATTTCTGCCATTTTACGGGAGGGAGGATAGTTGATTAAATGCTGAATACGTTTTTTTTGAAAGGAAATTGAAGTGGTTGTGGGAAGAGCCATTGAAGGACCAATTGTGTCAATTCAGATTTAGTTACAAATGAGCCTTTCTCTTGTGGACTGTTAGTGCTTCACCAAACTCAAAACTGAATCAATCCAGGATAACTCTCAGATGGCTCTTTTTATGCAAAAAAGCCACATTTTCCAGTATTTCAGCAGGAAGATGCCTTTTTTTTTTTTTCTTTTTTTTTAAAGGATTAAAAGTCTTACCATCTAGTGACTGATGCTTTCCTTACATCACTGAGCTAATCCCTGCTATGAAATACCTTTACAAAAACGGGGGTATGAGCAAAGATAGGTCTTTTTAGCATAGCCTCTTCATATATGCGCTTCAGTAATCACTGCTTCTGGGTACTAAATATTGGAGCCTTCTGGGAAACTAGATGTTCTGGAACTGCCTTCCTGCAACAGAACTCCTACAGCTACTTCATGTCTTTTAACCAGAAAGACCCAACAAGCTCAAACGTTGTGCAGTAACTTTGCTGCTTTCCTTCTGACTTCTGCCAGCACCCTTTCTCACTCCCAGCTTCTATTTCTCATTTTATTTATCTGGAGTGTAAAAGAGGGATGATGAATTTCTTTAGGAAAAACGACAATGAAGAAATGTATCCATTTAACCTGGAACTGTCAAGTTACTTTTTGACATGGAGGCTTATTTCTTGGCTTTTCTACTGACAGAGGAGCCTCTTGCACTGCATGGTTCGTCATATTCTGTGGCCATGAATCTCCCATAGTCTTATCCTCTCAAACACGTTGCCTAGTCTCAGGCTCCTTTTAGCCTGGGTTGCTTTGGCAGTGAGGTCTCAGCATTAGAGAAGCAATGCCACAGTCTTAGGAAATTTGTTGGGTTGCTTTAATCTCATGCTTGGGCTCCAGGACTAGATTGTGGTGCTGATGTTTCTAGATACCCAGTGGTTAACCTGACTTGGTCGGACAAGCCAAAGCAAGCAAAAGGAATAGTTCTAGTTTTAAATCCCAGATTTATACAGACGAAGTATTCCAGTTACTTCAGATGCCTGATGTATAAGATTGTTTTATTTTATAAAGATTAGAGAGGATTCTGCCAAGGTCTTTTCCAACCTAAATGATTCTATGATTCTATTTTTACATCTGATTCAAGTGTCACTTCTTGGATTAGTAGATCTTCACCTCAAGTTGGGGAAAAATATTCACCTAATGCCAAAATTTTCTGAGTTGACTTTGGCACTCCAGATTGCTGGAAGGCCTGGAGAGGATTTGTTTTGGACATCTAGTGGCTTTTTATCAAATCCAAAAGCATTTGAAAGGATGTTACTTTCTTGCCTTTAATACTGCTATCAACTATACTTTGAAAATTCAGAACTTTGTTCCATTTCTGTCTGCAGTGGTTGTGATTTCAGCTTCAATTTCACTTACTTTATTGACGAGAATCACATCTGCATTCCAGAACCTATGTTTGTGAAGGACTGCTTCAGTGTCTTTGGTGTTTATATGAGATAACTGCTTTGTTTCAAGGACTGTCCAAGAAGTCTAGATCTCTGTACAGCTGTGCATTTAGGAGTGCTAAAGGTCTTCTCAGGTGTAGTTCCTTTCCTCTTGGGTTGGAAATTTTGCTTTACAAAATAAAGAGATCTATTTTTCTCTTTGTTGGTATATGAATTGTACAATATGCCTGAGAAGAGAGCCGTGTATCAAAGCTGAGATGCTCTCTGTATTTAATGAGAGACAGCCCAGATGACTAAACCTCTAAAACCCACAGCTAATTATCACAGTCCTTGTGAATTTCTTGACGTGAGATGTTGAAGCAGTGCAGAAAACAGACAATCAAGTCAGGAGAGAGAGGGGAAGCCTCATTTCTACTCTTCTACTATTTTCTTTTAAAGAAGATTTAGAGAGGTGGTTCCACAGTTTTTAAAAACGGAGAGGGAAAGACAGCTGTTTAAAAACACGTGTGTGGAGGTGGTACAGAAAAGAAAGCTAGTATGGAAAGAAGGAAGGTCAGTATGACAAGCCTCTTCTCCATTACCTGTGTTGGGGAAGACTGCATATTATGTAAATATCACTGGGGAAATCCTACTAATTTTTTTTCTCTTTACAGATTCATAAGAAGAAAGTGAATATGAACAAACAGATCTTGTCCTTGCGGGATTTGAAGGTTTCTGTTATTGACGAAATCAAGTGTTTAGTGCAAGAATTGAAATCCATACAGGCAGCGTTGGATTTATCAGAACATCTCCCTCTTCCCCCGATCCCTCAGTTACACCCAGATGAGGTTCCAGAAAAAAAATTTGAGTATGACACTGACATCCTCCTTAAGTTCAAACAGGAGCAGGAGGCCAAGGCAAAGTTCCAGGAACCATTGGAAGGGTCTCCCTCATCTGGTGCACCTAGGCGTAGTTTTCTAAAGCCTTCTTCCCTTAAAGAGTCTGGCTCCGTGACACAGCCTGCAAGAGAACACCCAGTGAAAATAACGCCATCTGTGGTCGTAGAGCAGAAAAAGCTTCTTGAGATTGAGAAGGCAGAGCCAACTGAAATGGAACTGGAAATTTTAAAGAGGGAGAAGATAAAAAACCTATACTTGCAGGATTCCTTGATTAAAAAGGTAGGAAATCAGAAGTTTTTTTTTTTTCACATTGAACAATCTCGATCAGAAATGAACCCCTTTCCTTCTGTCTTAGGACTGCAGATACTCTTGCCTTTCAGAATTTCAAGAAAATGCTATCTAGTACTAATTTACAGGGTAAATCAGTATAAATCTGTAACAGTGACCTCTGTGCTAACTATGATAAATTGAAAATCAGATTTCTAATTTGTTATTGATATGTGAAACTATGAGCTCAGTGGCCAAAAAAAAAAAAAAGGCAAATAGCATGTTAGATTTTTTCTTCATCGCTTTTTGAGTCCAGGCAATAGATCTGATTCTTATTTTTTGTTATGATTCATGAAGTTCTCAGCTTTTAAGTAACATGACTAGTCCTGACACTGTAGTCTTAAAAATAATTTTAAATGTGCCAGGCTTAAGGTCATGAAAAAGCTTCTTTAAAAGGAATATCTACATGTATAAGGCATCCTTGGTCTGGAAAAAGGACTACTGAAAGGAATGTACCAGAGGTGACAAAATTATGAATAGCATAAGAAAAGGAGAGTGGCAATCAGCTCTTAAAAGGAGAGAGACCAAATGAAATGGTGGGGTGGAAAGCTTGTTGTTCCTATGCAACCAATAACTAAACTTTGGATGTGGGGGTAGCTACAGTTTGATAAACTCTGGAAGAAAAAAATCCGTTCAAGATGTTAAATGCAAACATAGTACTGCAAGCTCCAGATGTCCATAAATCAGAGTTTAGGAGGGTACAGTGAGGAGCTTGTGAGAGGTGTATCACCATTCACTTGTTGGCTCTGTTTCATACCTTCTTTTCTCTAATATCTGTTGTTGGTCATTGACTCTTCGGTTTAATCTGACACAGATACCCTTATGTTCATGTGTATGGAGGTTTTGAGAGAATATCCAAATGCTGCTATGACCATCACATATGGATATGGCCACGATGGCAGCTGCTAGTACTGATTTAACTGTAAATGTCTAAGGGAAGAGCTGTCAGGTATTCTGCCTTGGCACACTTCTCTCAGAAGACAGTAATTATTGCTATGTCTGGGTTGTTACATGGACTCCTTAAATGTACTACAGACTACTGTAAAACATTCTCTGAAGAGTAAAATACTTCTTGGGTGGAGTGGGATGCAGTGAAACATCCCTGTGAAGCCCTGGTGATTTTTGTGTTATTATACCGAGAGTATAGAAATAATTGGAGTTAACTTTGTCTTTTTAAGTGCTTCAGTAATCATTAGTGGATAGCATGAGCAAGTTGTTGACTTGACAGAAAGAATTTTTCCGTTCTGCTCCTTTCTCTTGCTTTACATGTTTAACTCTACTCCGAATACTCTCCTCATTCCTCATTTGCAGTTCTCTTTCACTCCAGATCAATGCACTGGTGATAAACTTTGATGCTGAACTTCGTGTCCTGCGGCACAAGAAACTGCAGCTGGATGTGCAGTTGAAGCATGCTGACCTGCGCTACATCACGTGGTATGAAGAGCTGCTTATCCTGAATGATGTTGAGAAAACTGAGAATGATCTCCAGGGGCGTGTTACCACCCTCCGCAGTGAGAAGGAGGCCACACAGGTATGTAGGCCATGTGTGCCTGGACTTAAAAATACTGCTGATGAGTGGTCTGAAAAGAAAGTAAGGCATCAGATAAATGGTGGCTTCTCTTTGCTTCCTTTGAGCACTGATCTAATATCTAGTGCTAAATTTAGAAAAGCAAGAAACTCTTGGTGATCAGCCTAGGATGGTTGCTTTTAACTTCCAATAGTTAATCTTTTCAAAGTCTAAGTAGTCGTATTTTTATAGTTTCTTCATGACGTGGAGTCAATGACAAATCATATACTTTATTTAAGAACATACTTCTGGGTTTTGCTTGATCGGAGCAGGAATTCAAAGAGAGAAAGTCAAGTTTTGCATTTCCAGATCTTCACTGATACGTCTTACCTACATAAAAGTTCAAAGGTTGTGTGCCTGTTGACTAAAGAAGGTTTTTTTTTGTTTTGTTTTGTTTTTAGTCAAAAGTGAACAGCTACCTTGCACTGATGGAGCATACAAATTCTGAGATGGTAAAGCTTCGGGAACGTAAGAAAGCTCTTTATGCCAGCTTCCGAGCATCCCTTGGAGAAAACAACAAGTTCGCCCGTTTTCTGACCAAGGTTCTGAAGAAGAAAATCAAGTGCATGGAAAAAAAAGTAAAAAGAGAAGCAGGTTGGAGATGCTGTTCTAATTGTTTGGATTTGTTGCGTATACTTCTGTGCAGTAAAGTAAACGTGCCTCAGTCTAGCTGGATCCCCAGATACATCCAATGCTGAACTCGGTTCAAAAAAACAAATAGAACAAAAAAAACAAAACCCACCTACCTGGGTTTTGTTTCTGTACCACCCCATGTTCTATGGAAGCCAACCTGAATGATGATAACGGTGTAATTCAGCCTCTAACATGATTATATTTGGTCTGATCACAGCTCCTACAACCTACTTCCTGTATGTCAATATTGAGGATTGATAATTGGTATGAAGAAGAGGCAAAGCTTTAAATAGCTGCTTCCTGTGCTGTGCCAATGGGAGCTATGGATAAGTGATTAGTCTGCCATATTCGTGACATTCTCCTTTAATCTGTCCATTGACTAATGAGAGATCACAGACCTAATCTGCTATCATCTATTAGTCACGCGACTAAACATATTATGAAAGGATTTCATTTATTTTAGTGACTGGGTTTTAATTGTTAAGGCCAGGCAGTCTTACTGGGCTAAAACACTTGCACCCTCTCTTTGACTTGGCTTTTGATTTCCACTGGGACATGATTAGCAAAAAGTGCAATCAACAGTGATGCTTTTGTGACAGTTTTGTGCTTCTGTGCATTTTTCTTGGTTGTTTAATCTCTGTAGAAGAATGGTAAACCTACAAGGTTTAAATTCCAAATTCTTAACACACATAAAGAGAGGAAAAATTGAAGAAAGTCTCAAAAGATTTGCCTGTGTTTGTGCGTTTGGCACTACTAGGTGATTTCTCTCTCCCATATTTTTTTTTTTCTTTCTGTTAAATTATCAAATGAATGCAAAATGGTTGCTTTTTTGTTGATTGTTGGGAATGTGTTCATTCACATAATGCACAGCTAGTGAGTTTGAGGGGTGTTCTGCAAATCAGCAGTACTCTCCTTTTCTTCCAGATGAGAAATATGAGAGTGAATGGGAGACTGATGAAGAGTCCACCTTGGGGAGTGATGAAGAAGATTCTAGATCTGAAGATGAAGTCTTTGATGTCTCCGTTTGTCCAAAGAGTACTAAGATATCATTTTGTTGGGTTGAGTACTTGTTGAGCTTTCGGGATAATATTGTGTTTTTAAAAGGAATTTTTCATTATTCACCTCACATAAATGCCATTAAGGGCCAGAATGTGTGCAGTCCTCCTGGGTGCAGTATTTGTCCCCAGGAAATCTCAGTGAAGATAATGGAACCGCTGACAGTAGAGGGTACAGTAATTAAAAAGTTTGGAAAAATAAAACTTCTCTAAGTGCTAAAAATTAATTATTTTATGTAAATCACCATTCAGCATTTCATGGCTGTGTTTCTGGAGAGGAAAGGCTCCTCACAGTAGCGGAGCTGGAGTGAGGCTGCAGCTGCTCTCCGGAAACCTGCCGCCAGGCCTAGCTGGATCCCTGTTCAGGGAAGATCTGTGGGGACACCACAATAATGTTAAATTAAGCTCTTTGTTACCACCTCGTGGATTTATGCAGTAATTGCATGTTTCTAGGCTTCTCTAATCATCTGAAAAGGTAGGAGCTTTGCAAAATCCTCTTCATTCATTAATTCATTAATGAATTCATTCAGTAAAAGCAAGCAAGCTCTTCTTTTCTTTTGTAGGAGTTTAACTATTTTATGGTTTGTTTGTTTTTTTAAGATGTTTGAGTGAGATATCAGTGACCACTTAACAACACTGCTTTTTTTTTTTTTTCTGCCAGAATTTACCAGTAAATTACCTTTTTTTTTTTTTTTTTTTTTTTTCACATTGGATTTTTTCATTTTCATAAATTGAATTCTTTCTTAACTCCTTGTCCCTCTCCTTTTTCAGAGAAATGTTGGGAAGAAATATAGAATATTTTTTACTTTTTATTGAAAAAATCCAAATTACTGATTTAATAGGGAAATGACATTACATCAGCCTCTCCATATATGGTCTTTAAGTGTAATTTGCCTTGCCTTTTTTTTAACGTGAATTAATTTGTGTTAACTGTGCTGAATTAATTAGTATGACTGAAATTGCTGCACCAGGTAGAAATTCACAGATAAACAACTACATGTTCACGTAACTAAAGATTGTACTGGAACATGTATTAATTACTGGGACTGAATTAGTTACAAAGGCTAACTTTTGAGCACTTGGCTTTAATATTTTAGTGTTATTTGATGCATTTAGTCTTATTTGATGCATTTAGTCTTACTTCTGGAAACAAACTGTCTTGATTGAATATAAAGAAAAAAGATCCATCCAAGACATCTATCCTCTCATGGAGGAATTTGGCCCATAACATTTAAGTTGACAAAGTTCTAAGGAATCAAGAACATGGTCTTATTATGGGAAATGCTGGGCAACCTGCACATTAGGAGAAGCTAGTAGCTCAAGCTTGTAGCTACTGTACAGTCATAATGAAACTAAGCTATCCTCTGACCCTTTTCTTCTCAGACTGTGATAAGGCGCTCTTCCAAAACACCATCCAGCTCCGGGAGAAGTGGTTAGACATTGAGGAGTCTTTAACAAAGGAGAAGAGAGTTGCTGCTAACCTCAGAAAGAAATATAACGTCTTGGTCCAAAAGGTATGGTGCTGTTGTCTTCTCAGAAGGCATGAGCTGGCTCCAGTACAATGAAAATGTTGTGCTATTGGTTTTGGCTAAGATTTAAAATGGAAATCATTACCTTTTACGTGGCCTCAGTTTGGGTAGAGATAACCCAGGCAGGAGGCAGCTCACCATGGGTCACCCATCCTCCTGGAAAGCGTCAATCAAGGTGGTCTAACCTTAGCTGGTAGGGGGCTGGATCCAGGTTTTAGGTCCAGTTTCTCCCCAATTGTCTAACCACATGCAGCAGCAGAAACCAGACTCTGATTCAGATGCAATGCCCGGTGCAGCTTGGCCCATCCCGTGTGCATGTGTATGGGGTTGGAGAACATAAAGAGTCGCCCTAACACACATGCATACTAAAATAAACCATAAAAATGCTATCCTTCCATCTGTTTCTTTTGCTTTTAGTTATTTTCTTCTGCTCTTTGTCATAGTAATTATTGAATAAACTCACTTGGTGCAAGTTTTCCTTTTAGCTTTTTTGAGCTCCTGCATTCATCAAGACATTTGATTTATATTAATTCAAAAATATCTTAATTTAGAGGGTTTTCTGGGATAGAGGGAGAGTTCTGCCAAAATACCATTATGCAAGGCTTGCTTTTATTGTGTCTCAAAAATGTCCCAGCAAATATGCTTAACTTACAACGTTTTTTGTTTAGTTTTTAAAGGCTTTCCTAAGTGCCAGCTGCCACATATTCACCCTGGGGTCTGACATTTGAGTTTGAATTGTTTCTTTCTCATGCAGAATCAATAAGCATTTCCAGGCATAAAACAATAAAAAAATATCTTGCAGACTCTGTTGATCTAGAAGTGTATTGGACACTAAACAAAGAAACTGTCTCTTGATACATACAGGGCTTCTCAAGTAAGGAGATATATTTAAGTGTACATGCGTACAAAAGTATTCAGCATAGAATTTTGTTTGAATACATAGATGAGCCTCATGTTAACCTATGAAACTCATCTGTCATAATACATGGAAAAAAAGAGCATTCTTTCCATGCTTCTTTTGCTTCAGATCAAGGACTCTAACACAGATCCTTGCTGTCTTGTGTATTTGAGTACTGTAAGGTTTTTGTCTGTCCACAATTTGTCTTTCTGCAGGCAAAAGCAGTAGAAGCCAGTCTGAACACAGCAGAGAGGGAACTGGACACCTTTCAATGGGAAAAGCAGCATAAACTTAATGAGTTATACGCAGTTGTGCCTTTGAAACTTCATCAGGTAATTCAGGATTTCATGTATTTATTACTTCCGGCAGGTGCAGAATGGCCTATGTACATCTAAACAGTAGTGTTACTCGGTTTTTGAGCTTTTACTTCCTAATTTACTATAGTCTCCATGGAGTGACAGTGTCATTAATTGAACTTCATAATGCTATTTCCTCTAGGTTTGTTTTCCTTCAAGTAAGGACAGGTAGGGGCAGCACGTTGCTGAAATGTGTGCAGCCTTCAAGTGTTTTATAGGTTTGGCATGGAATATTCCTTCAGGTCTATGTTTGCTGATACTCTCCTGAAAACAAAACTAATAAAAACAAAGAAACAAAACCACCAACAACAAACTACTGAAAGTCATGGGAGTTTTTCCCAATTCAAGAATGCTGAATTGTATGCAAAAATGTATCCATCTGTGCAGCTGTTATCCCAGGGATGATTAGTAGAAAATGAAGATGAAAACTCAAGACAATACTGTTATTTCCTCTGGGCTGCATCTTGTCCTCAGAGAAAAAACATAGGCTTTTGCCTCTTGTTGCTCATACACCTCTGAAGCAAACTCAGCTCTCTCCATTTGTTTTCCCTACCTGCATTAAAATGTTGGTAAGAAAGCAGGGCCTGTCACTCTTCTGTCTATGCAATTCTGCAGGTCTCAGTTCATTCAGAAGCACAGAGACACTCAACAGGGAGTCCCCTACTCTATTTCCAGTGCTACAGAAAGGAAGACAGCTTTGTATACAGGGAATCATCACGGCTCTAAGTAGCCTTTGAGCTGCTGAGTGGTAGTAATTCCGTGGCCCAAAACATGAGAACTGTGCTCACACTATTATCTCATTCCTTAGTTTTCAAATTCTTATACATTTGTTGTCCAGAGTGATCATCGGTGCCCTTAACAAGTCAAATTAGCCTTGCTTATGGGTAATTTCTGCTTCTGACAGGTGGAATACTTCGTTAATGGGGAGATACCCAGTGACCTCTCCCAAGCCCTGGTATTTACCAACCAGTCCTTAGAGTATCTGCAGAAGAGAATTGTGGACCTACGTAATGAAAAAATAATGCAGAGAGAGATGTATAAGAAGGCACAGCAGCAACATAAGAAACTTATCCATGACAAAAAGGAGATGGAGATAAATATTCGCCGTGAGTAACAGACTCCAAACAACACAGCCTTCTAGTGCTCATGCTGTCCCCTCTCTGGGTGTGGGTCACTCAGCAGATGTCTGTCTTTACTCTCACCCAAATGTCACAGCTGGTTACTGTAGAAAATAAACCAGAGGGGATCGGGTGGATTGTTCTGATGAAGTATTGGTAGTTCTCCAGCACTGCAGAGTCATTAGGCTATGTTAAATAATTTGGGAACTTAGTAAAAGGAGCGCTGACTGAGATGAGACACTGGGAATCAGGACACACAATTGCTATTTCTGGCTCTATGCAGGAGCTGCTAGAAAACAGTTCTTTTGGAAAAGCCACATAAGCTTTTCATGCAAGTTCCTTCTCCGTGTAACATAAGAATGATAAAAGCTCTATTCAAGACATTTACAAACATAAAATGGGGAACCAGACCCAGAGGTGTCCCGGTGTCTCCACCACCGAACCTCCTCCTGCCAACCCACTGAAGCTTTTTATAGTCCATGGTGTGGAGGTGGCTCACTAGGACTGGCTAAGAGTGTGGCTTTGTGACAACAAAGGTGTGGTCACGGGCAAGAACCAGTGGCAATATGCTGTTGTGATTTCTGTGTGGCTTTGTGTAAATTATTTATTCTAGAGCGTATGCCACCAAGCTCAGACAGAAAGCTGGAGGTAAATTTTTATTAATCAATGAAAAGCAGTTCTACCATTTGTGCCATGCCTTCTCTTTTAGAACTGGAAGAGGAGTGCAATCGGATGATGATGCTGAAGTTTGGCCGGATGGTTGATTTTGAAGCAGTTCAAGAACGCTCCGTTAACATAAACTTGGAAGAGTTGGAAGTAGAAATAATGCAGAAAGAATATGAGCACTCCCAGGAACTCAAAGAGTGGGAGGTAAGGAGTAGGAATAGGAAATATATTTGTCTCCGTTATTCTATTAGGGCTTCATTTGCTGGGGCTGAATAGCTACGCTAATGTTTTTTGTGAACATACTCATGTTTTGTGAATGTATTCATCCTATTTTCTTGACAATACTTTTTTTTTTTTTTTTTTTTAAACAACAACACTTTCCTTAAATGCATCCTTCAGTTCTTCCAGAGAGCTTTCATTTGGTTTCCAGCTGGCATTCAGTACCTGCTGCCTCTTCCCATCGCATCTGGTGACAAACTATTTGAGTGCAGGGCAGTGCTGGCTTATGTCTCAGACACTAGACTGTGCAGTATGAGAAGTGCTTGTCCCTGTCTGGGAGGCCTAAGGCGCAGCTACTGTAGTACAAACAGGCAACACACTTATGCTGGCCTTACAGAGTGCTGTCATTGTCTGTCTTTTTAAAAAAATATGGAGAGAGAAAAAACAGAAAATGAGATGATTTCAAGAGATCCAGAAACTATCTCTATGAGCAAGTATCATGTCTTGTTTAAATTGCTTGACTGAGATCTTCCCCCACCCCTCCTGAGCAGTAAAGCATCATCACCTTTATCCTTCTTATATATATATTATATATATATGTGTGTGTGTATGTATGTACGTAATAGGTTTCATGATTTCTACTTTTTTTTCTGTTCATGTAAATTGCTACCATGTTTTGAGGTTAGCCTTGATGTGGGATATACACTGCTCCTTAGGGAAGTGAGTCTGGTGTCATTCAACACAGCACACATCTAGATGTGTTTTAAGGCTTCTGTAATGAACTCCAGAAGGGCACAAGTTGGTTTTTGTTTCATTACCAACAAAAAGTTGGTAATGAACTGTCCTGTCCGTTCCTCGCATGTTTGTACAGCATGACACATTTTCAGGAAGGCAGAGTGTTCAGATTTCCAGCAGCTCCTTGCTCTCCTGCTTGTCTTGTGTTTGTAGCTATGCAAAGAACCCCCTCCTCCTTCTGGACTTGGGTATGAGAGCCAGATTTCAAAGTGGAAATTCACAGCCCCAGACTTCTGTGTCTTTTATGCTGGTTTGTGGCAGGTGTAGGAGGCAGCTTAATACCTCACATGCATATGGCGTAGTAGGTATCTAACAGTTTTCTCTTTCCAATGTTTTTGCCTACCTGCTTTAAACTAAATGCTTAGTTATTTGCAATAATAGAAAGAAAAAGGAAAAAAAAAAAAAAGGAAGAAAAAGACGTTGCACTAAACATATTGTGGGATCATATGATATACGTAGAATCAGTTTGTTGTTTACCTCTTTCTGTGACATATTCTGCTTAGCGCTTGTTCCCTATTTCATTCACACTGATTATCCTTTCTCAACCTAGTTCAACTTTTTTTTAATCATTCTAGAAAAGAACCTTTGACCTGCAGCAGAAGCTGATGATGCTGACAAAGGAAAATACCAGAAAGCTGCAGCAGCTGAACCGCTTCTGCCTTGAAAAGCAGCAACTTGAAACTACACTGGATTCACTAAATGATGATCTAGTAAGCTTGTTATTTCCCTGAAGTAGGCCATATTTTAAATTCTCTGGTAATTTCTTAGATGCTTTCTGATTTAACAAACTCCTGTTATTTCTAATTAGAAAATGTCTTTCAGGAAGTCAAAATTATTCCTTTGAAACATGCAAACAGCCAAATGAGTTAAGGTGTATTCTTTGAGACCAAAGTATTAGGGAATTAAGTCAGACTGAGCCTTAGTTGACAGTCCCTCAATCTGACTTTGGAACAGTTTGGACTGTGGCATAGTCATGAAGCTGTCCTGGGTCTTGGGAAGCCTCACTTTCCCAAAGGAAATATGTTTCCACTCTTAATTCTTGAGTGTTTTATAGGAGCTATTTTTTTCTCTCTTTACAGGGAGCAGAGTTTCAGGGCCCCCGAAGTACAGACATCAAAGAGAAGGCCAGGATGGAGTCACTGCTGAAACACAGGGCTCATGACATTGCCATCCTAAGGGAAGAAATCAATCTTCTCAGAAGAAAAGACGGATGCGTGAGAGAACAATTCAGTCTGCTAGCCAGAAAAGATGGGTGCTTCTTTCTACAGCCTTCATCACCACAGGACTCTGAGACACTCTCTGAACCCTTCCCTGTTCTTACACCATGTACGGTAACTAACAGCCCCAGTGTCCCTTAAAAATGGATGTATTTAACTGCAGCTGTAGTAATACCTAGAAGTGCAAAATGTACTGTTTTAGTTAAGCAGAGGGGTAGTTGTAAAGGGTTTTCCCTGTCAAAATATGACTATAGTGGCAGATGTGGAATAAAAATGGGCAAATGCAACCAGTAAATGCTGTTACTAGTCTATTCAGAGCTCTGCACTGGACAGATGCTCTGTGTATGTGTATTGCATGTGCAGCTGTGTATGCCTGTTCGTATCTCTCAGCACAAAAAGGGGCTTTGGAAGGCTGGGTATGAGAAAGTTTTGTCTGTCTGAAACTATCTTTGGTACCTGTGTTCTCAGAAGTGGTAACGGAGGTCTGTCTTGGGCATACATCTTATTGTTTGTTGAACATCCTAGCAGCAACAGCAGTTTTCTTGAGATGGGAAGTGCTGTGTGGTTGGAGAAGGCAAGGGGACCTTTGTCCTGGGCCTACAGTGCGTCCTCAGATGGGTATGGTGCCAGTCGGAGACCTGCCTGCTCTACAGAAGTGGGAAACTCACTAAAGTGCAGGAATCAGATTTACTTGGCATGAAGAGGCTGTAGCAACAGGTGGGCAGTGATGTTTGCCTTTAATTCTGGCTTGCAGCAGTAGACCAGACTGAGAGCAGAGCCAGGCTTTGTCTATTTTCAGTTTTATATATATATATAAAATAATGTTTTTAACTGGCACTTGGGATGCTGACAGTGAACAACCATTTATAGCACTTACCTTGGTCTTACCGTGAAGGGTTCCTTTAACCCCAAAGTGGAAGGGTTTTGTTGCAACGTAAGAACATTGCAAAGTTTCTAACAATGTACAGGAAAGTTTGGAACTTGTTGCTATTTTTAAATTAAACAGCTTGAGCAACCCACAGCTGCTCTTGCTCCTCTTCCCTACTCCCTCCCTGGTCATTACTCCTCTGTTAGGTATACCTTGAGGCAGGATCCAACTGTATCCTTGCCAGGCACAAGAACTGCCCCTGCTGGCTTCAGCACAACCCAGTGAAAGGCATTCATGCTGGCAGCCTTTTCAGTGGTCCCTATGAAGGTGCTGCGCATTTTGTTTCCTCGGGGGGGAAAAAAGAAAACAGCCTTATCCCCAAACCTGGATGCTGGAAGTTTCTGAAGCAACAAAACCCCAGGATGTTGGGGGGGTCAGGGATTTGGGTGTCCACCCCAAATTTTATGTATCTGTCCTTGGAGATGAATGAAAATCTCCCTTAGCTCTGCTCCCCCTACAGGTCTCACGTCACTTAACTGGCACAGGCACCGGCAGTCCCTCTTCTCCTGAGTTCAGCATTGAGAAGGTTCACTTGGCTGGCCTACTGGAAACTCTAGCTGCAGGGAGATGTCACCTTTCCCCAGGTATCCTGTTTGCTATATTCCTGCAATGGAGGAAAAAAAAAAAGTGTAGGTTCATTCTGTGGGAGGATTTAGCAGTACAGCCAGCCCCAGAAAAGACTTAAGCCTTTATTTTAGGTGTTAAAGCGTGGGTTTGTCTTTACAGATGGCGTCTATGTGAAGGGTTGTTTAAGTTGATTAGGCAGAGTGCGTAACTCCAGGCCACCCTCAGGAGCGTGTTCCCGGGACATGCCTTCCTGTGGGCGAGGAGAAAAGACCTTCCTGGTAGCGTTATCTTGCGTGAAGCCCTCACTGCAAGAGGATGCTAGATCTCGGTGGTGGCAGCTCTGTTTGGCCCCGTGTCTTGCGATGTCTCGTGCTGCTGGTTCAGTCTTGTGCTCTGACCAACAGCCCCGTGCCACGGATAGTTGCGGCCTTGTTCCTTCAGCCCTCCCGTTGCCTTGCTGAGGATACCTTCTGTCTCCGTAGCATTATAAAAGGCACATATACATCTATATACAAGTGCATAAATATATAAATAGGGGTGTTATACAAAAATAAATACCCATTCTCTTTTTCTCTTTAGAATAAGTCTTTGCAAAAGGCAGCTTGGTCCCTAACTGGTAGGAGAATGAGTCTCTAAGGGCCTCAGTGGTGGCGGGCTGCTGTTCAGATGTCCTGGTAGGTCCTGACTCAAGGATGTGATGACTGGATTCTGGGGGTGGAGGTCTCCTCTGGACTGGCAGCAGTCTAGTCTTTCTACCTCTTCAACTGGCACTAGGCCTAGGCAGCAAGGGCTTCCTGAAAGACAGAGGAGCGAGAGATTTTTAAAATGCATACAGAAATGAGAGGTGCTGTGGTAGCTTTCTTCTCAGCAGTCCATTTTATGAGGACAGGTGCTCTGATCAAAGACAAAGAACTGCATTCTAAAAGGCCTGTCTATGTGAGAGTTTAAACCTATGCTTGCACACAATGAGTTTAATCCATGCTACAGGAGGGGTGGATCAAAGGATCATGTCCTAGGGGAAGGGATTCTCGTAATTCTTCAGGGACTTTGGTGCTGGACGGGTGGTCTGGAAGATGCGAGATGAAGGACTAAGGGACAGTGCCTCTGCTGCAAGTGCAGGTAGGTGTGTGCCCTTCCAGCAGCATACAGTTTCATGTTCTCAGAGAACTGAGAAATCTGTTCTGTACGACTGTCCCAGGAAATTCACAGTCCCCAGCTGCTGGTGTGGCCTTTTTTAAGCTGCTCTACACATTATTAAGTCTGTGCACCACAGAAATGAGCATGAACAAAGCCATCAGAAAGGCTCTCCGGTAAGATTTCCCTTCATGATCAGCCCAAAAAAATGAGATGAAGCAAACACTGAGTTTTCCAGCCCACTGACCTTGGTGGAACAGCGGATCCCGCCGAGCGTCCAAACTAGGGCCTCCAACTTTGCTGCCCATCACTGGATGATGCAGGCCAATGAAGTGCTCTTGAAGGTGAGGACAGTCGTCTTGTGGCTGGAGAAGTTGGTGAGTGGAGTCATCTGGGAGGCTGTAGAGGAAAGAGCTGTCTTCTGGTCTGGAACTGGGCAATCTGGGGAGGCAGACAGACAAAGAAAGAAGTTTAGTACTAAGCACAGATGTTTCCTCCTTGAAAGAGATGATCTATGTAGCAGCTAGCTGCATCAATGGAATGACAAAACATTCATAAATGAGGGGAAATTGGGATATACTTGTGGGATGGGAATGAGGTGATGGGAACTGGTATCAACCATTCAAAACTTGGTGAGTGCCACAGGAGCTGGGAGGAGTAATGCCTCCCAGGGAGCGGGGGAATAAATAATGGCTTGAAGTGTGAACAGCAAGACAGAGCGCCTGTGACTAGCCAGATTCTGAGCATCTGTTTATCAGCATCCAGCCACAGATGCTGGTTTCTCTCTTTGTACTTTTTAGTCTCCTGCTTAGAAGCACAGTTTTGTTTCCCAAATGAACTGGGACAGACAAGAGAGCACGCTGAGGGCTAACTTTTGTGAGCAGATATTTTCTGGTGGGCCCCACTGGATTCTTCCGTCCTCCCCCTCCATAAGCCAGGACTAACCTGGAGGGTTGGTAGTCTCGTTGGGCGCTCCCAGTTTTGCAGCACTCGTGCCTGCAGCAAGGCGTTGGTCTCCTCGTGTGACTGGAATGAGAGAAAAGAATCTCAGTGGTGCCACGAAGCAGCATTAAGAGGTAGGTGCTGATCCCCAGCAGAACCAGAGCCATGGGGCAGAATGGTGAAGCTGTTGCTTAATAGGTAGAGAAGTCAAAACTGTTTCTTTTGCTATAGCAGATAGAGCAGAACTGAGCTGAAAAACTCACTTCATGCTTACTGCTGAATTACTGGCTCATGAAAACCAATGCACAGTCTCAGTGGTGGCACTGCCTTGCTTTATGTTACCATTTACACACAGAATCATCAACATTGCCAGTCTGTCTAGGCTTTGCTTAGGAGAAACAGGAACCGTTTCCATTAAGAGCAGCTTTTGCCCACTGCCTCTTCCGAACTTTAAGAGCCACTGCCCCAGGAAACCACCTCATCACGAGTGATTTGGAGACCTTCCTGCTCATCCTAGGTATCTGGGGAACTCGCATGTAAGAAAGGAGCCAGTTTGGGCACTGTCTGCATGCTACAAACCTCCCAGTGCAACCATGGCCTCCAGCTCAAGTCGAATCAGCTGTTAACTGCAGCTGTGGCCGTACCTGCTGCATATCTGGGCTGTAGTCTCGGGGCTTGGTGCTCGCATAGCCCACCCCAGCAGAGGGGCAGATGCCGTTCAGATGCGCCCCATTGGCGTAGGGCTGCCCGTTGACGTAGGGGTGGCCGTTGGCACGAGGAGCAGAGATGGCCCTCAGGGGCACCATGGTGTACTGGTAGGATGATACCAGCAGCCCAGCTCCCGGGAAGCCCATGTCGATGGTTTGCTCTGCAGAGGGAAGAAAAAGGAAATCTGAGCCCAAAAGCAGAGGTGAAGCTGAACTTCTTGAAGTGAGCTGCTGTCCTGTCAGGCAGGTATCGGGCACTCAAAGCACCCTTGGAGACAAATGGTGGAAAGAGGCCCTGGACAAAAGTAAAAGCAGTGCCGCCTCTTCTAGTCCCAGGGTTCCTTCTGGGACTAGACAAGGACAAGGGATGGACCAGTAGCTTTTCTCTTCACAGAGGACTTCTACAGGACACTTGAGACTTGTCCTCTTCCCGCCCTTCTCCCTGCTTCCTAGAATGTGCAGCCTTCACATTCTATGTTTGACCCAACTACACCTAGGATCAGATCTAACCCACAGGGTGAGCACATCTTGTACATCAGCCCTCAAGAAAGGACACTCACTCTGCTTGGACCAGGCTCTCCAAAGGCAAAAGGGGATGAAGGCCACAATGAGGAGCACAATGGAGCCCAGCACGACGCCCACAATCAAGTACGGCAAGTCGCTGGAACGGGCCACCATGGCTCCTGTCCCCAGGCCGCTGTGCCCACCGCTGAGCGGGGGATGCTGCTGGGGGGCCACTGTTGAGGGTGGAAGACGACCCGGCAGACCAAGAGACTTCCGAGCTGTGAAGGAAAGAGACAGAGTGAGACACAGACAGGGCAGGAGCAAGAGCAGTACTCTCCAGGGATGTCTACACTTCTGTGGAGTGAACAGGCTTCAGCAGTGGCTTTGAAGAAGCACTTCTGGATGCCAGAGGATTTCCCGGGCTGAAGCATATTGCCATACAGATGAGTCCTTTGTGCTTGCTTTACAGATCTGCCAGGCTCTTGGGCTGCTAAAGCACATGAAAAAGGGAAAGCCTCCAAAACACCCACTTGGACTTAATGCTGTCCCTGTTGCAACAGTGCAGCTGCTTGGAAGATGAGATGGGACTCGCTTATAATCAAGCACAGCAGTTGAGACCAGCAAGGGGGAGTTAGCCCTTCTGGTTCCAGTCACCATCGACGTGGCACTTAGGAAAAGGTCAGTGCTGCTCTGAGGAAAATGCTGATGGACTCACAGGGCTGCGCCAGGTGTCTGTGAGTACTGGTACAGGCGTATACACAAACTGAGCGCCAGCATCAAACCGAGCCTGCTCTTCTGTTCTGCCTCCACCTCCTTGCCTGAGTGTGGATGGCGTACGGTCAGGCAGAGCTGGTACCCGTGAAGCTGCTCACCTTTGGTTTCACAGATCATCACGTTGCTGAACTCGCTTTCGCCGCCCTCGTTGAAGCACTGCATCTTGATGTCGTACGAGGTTTCTGGCTGCAGGTGGCTGATGGAGTGCCAGTAGCGGTCTCCTGAGGAGGGAACACACACAAGGTGTCTTTAGCTCCCGTGGGGAACTTGCAGCTGGATTCAGAGCTAAGTGAAGCAGGACCAGCCAGCAGCAGCAGCCTCGTGACTTTGGTATACAAGGCTCCTTCTGGCCAGGTATTCTTATAGAAGAAATCGAGAGCTAGGATCAATCTCCAAAATCTCCTACCTTCCACCACGTCCTTCTTGTAGTCGCTGTCGTTGTCACTGTCGGTGGGGCGGTAGTAGATGTAAAAGCCATGGATGGGCGTGTTGTTGTTGCTGGCAGGGATGTACTGCAGAGAATGGGAGAGAGGGAAGAAATTAGCAGAGATGCCTGTGCTGTTGTATCCGTACTCTGTTGGGCAAGGAAGAGTCAGGATAAAAGGGATGAAGCAGGAGGAAGACCCGCAGGGAGCTCTTCCTTGTCTTGCCGCTGGTTTTCACAGTAAGGGCTTCCTTCCAGGAGCTCGTTGCTATTTTATACTCTAACATCTTCTCTCAGGTAACAGGCAGGCCATGAATCTGGTCCCTGTCAACCCAAACATCCCATACTCTGCACCTAGCAGCAGTGACTCAGCTGGGCAAGGACAAACACACCTTCACCTTGACTCTAACAGTCTCACTGCTTCCAGACACACAGCAGCTCTCTTGCCATGAGCCAGTGACTGGAGAAGTCTCATGTTTGTGTGGACAGCTCTGCTCCTCCTCCACCCGAAGCTGTACTGCCCTAGCTCCATGTGCTTGTGCTGCATGTCACCCAGTGCTGTATCAGCTACTGTGTTTACAATAACAGCAGTGCCCATCCTGCCCTGTAGCATTTTCGAGCCAGAAGAAGTTGGGAGAGAAAAGAGGGTGATGCACCCCTCTGAATAAGCTGTTGGAAGCACTTAGATCTGGGCTTGTGACCCGAAAGATCCTGCCCACTCCTAAAAACAAATCCTCTGGGCTGGACTGCTGTAAACGATTACCAGCACTTCCAGCTGCTATTCAGCAAGTGACAGTGAAGGACACGTCTGCTGGGAGCTACAGGAACAGAGGTGCTAATGGATTCCAGGAATTTGGCCAGGGGAGCAAGCAGCCACCCTCAGCGTGGCTGAACCATGCTTGTTGGATGAAATGGTCGAGACCCTGAGGTTATCCACTGAAATGCCTCCTGTGCACAACACTGGATTCAGATGAAAAGAGCTTCCTAGGTGCTCTGACTTCCTCCACTTCTACATGGCCCAAGCCCTGACCCTTGCTGTCTCTGAGAGCTGTCGGATCCCCACTCCATTCGTGCTGCTGCCAGGCTCCAGTGGGGTAACCTGGAAGATCTGTAAGCCAGGCAGGTAGCCCCCACACGCCTGCACCCTGCACCTTCAGAGTTCTTTCCCCCCTACAAACCTTACCATCCACTTGAGCATGATGGTGGTCTCGTTGATGGCATCTGTGAAGGTGATGTACGGCCCGGCCACGGGGCGCTCGTAGACGCGGTTGCTGTACCCAGACACCACGTACGGCCGGGACGCAGCACTGGGCTCACTCTCCCCCAGGATGTTCAGTGCTCGGACACGGAACTTATAGGAAGTGCCTAGGGGAGAAACGGGAGATAAGAGTTTGACCAAGACAGCGTTGATGTCTTCCAAGGCTTCTGCTGTCAGCACAGGCCACATCTCCAGAAGGTGGAGAGACTACAGCCAGGCTTTTATCGAATATAAACACTGCATGACCAGATTTCAGCCATGTGCTAGACTGAGCCTGCTTTTATTTGCCTCCCCAATTCTTGTCTGGATGGTCTAGAGGCCGGGTCGCAGTTATGGAAGGTATGTAGGGGTGGTTGAAAGGCTGTCCTTACCCCTGAGCAGCTATGGGATGGTGTCCTTCCTCTCCTATGTGGCAATCAGGCACAGAAATCTCAGATAAAAGCTCTAAGCCTAAATAACGTTTAACCAAACATCATTTTTTTGCTCTTTTAGTTTGGGTAGATATTTTGTCCTTTAAAGCTGTCCCACTCAGCGATGCCTTTTTTCTCATCTGAAGTGCAATGGGAATTGTGTGTCCGTCTGCCTTGCCTGCGGCTAAGGAAATAAAGCTCTGTCCTGTCTAGTAAAAGGCACAGACAAGGCACTCATGCTTTCAGTAACTGTCCTGTAAGGCAGAAAAGCATGTGCAAGCCTCCCTGAGGGAGGTCAAATCTACGCTGGTCTCTGCAGCTGGAGAAATTGGAGAAGCATCTGCAGCATTTCCCCAAGCAGCCCAGGCTGGAGCTGGGGCGGCTTTGTTCGGATCCCACAGGGCAGGGCCGAGTGAGCTGCAGCAGCTGCCTGGCCATCCTACAGGGGCCGCAGAGCTCTCCCACAGCCCCCCAGGATGTGGGGAGGAAAACACCTGCCTACCTTTCTCCAGGCCGGGGATTTCCACGGAGAGGCGGGAGGGAGGAATGTCGCTGGTGGCCAGGACCCAGTCTCCCAGCTTCTTCAGCTTCTTGTACTCCACGCGGAAAGACTGGATGGGAAACCCACCGTTCCCCCGCGGGATCCAGGTCACGTACACGGATGTCTCCGATGCCATGGAGATGGTTGGACGATCCGGGGCCTCTGGGGCTGCAAAGGTGGACATCAAAGACATGAAACACGCTCCTCTCACCGTGTCTGGAGGATCCCATAGCTCAGAGGTAAGCGGGTGAAGGACTGCCTGCACTGCACCCACCCACGTGCTGAGTCCTGAGTGCTAATTTCTTTCTGCCTCTTCATTAGAGCTGACACCCCCAAATCCTTGCTCCTTTCAATCTCTCCAGACATCTTTTACTCCTGTTTGCACCTCGAGAGGTGTGGGCGCAGGGCTTGAGATGGAGGGGGAGAGGCCCGACTGGACAGGAAGAGGACAGACAGGTGTAGGAGGTGAAAACAAGAAAGGCTGAGAGGAACCAGCTAAGGAGGAAATATGGAAGAATTCTGAACTGCAGAAATATAACCTGATACAAAAAACAGTCAAAAGATGGGAAGGAAAGAGATGGACGGAGCTGTGGGGATGAAAGCAAAGGGAATGCATGAATTACAGAAGGGATGATGGCACCGGTGACTACCAGAGGTGGGCCCAAGGTGAGAAACAACAAATTGGATTAACCAGGCAGGACCTGGTGTTCCTCCAATGCAGCAAAACGCCCAAATGGAGCAACCTCCTACCCTAACTGCCCCGTTTTAGTTTCTGACAGGTCCTTGTGTTAACGGTGGGGACAGGCCATGGGATCAGCTTCCCCTCCAAAGGCTGCCTGCTGCCGAGAAGCACAGAGGTGTCCGAGAAGGACATCTCCTGGTCAGGAGCTAGAGACCACCCAGCCTTGCTTTACCCATGGCTAACTCTAACCCCAGCACCAACCCGGCTCCCCTCGCCCTCCCTCCTTGCCCACCCAGCCCAGGCAGGGCCTTACGGGACAGGCGGCTGTTGTCGGACTGGTTACTGCTCTGGGTGCTGGTGCCAGGGGTCATCCCTCTGGATTTGCTGCTCTTTGCTGGCAACGATCTCTGGTTTTGGACGCCGGCCTGCGCAGAAAGGAGAGATGGCATCAGGGACACGGTAATGCAGGTCAGAGTTAATTGTTGCTGTCGTGAATAAAGAAAAGATTCCCAGCTGTGATGCCGAGGTAAATACTCCTTGGACTCAAACAGCCCTAGGGCTTCAACGTGCTCAACTAGCAGCCAGGAACCGAAGCTAAAGGGGCAGAGTTGTTCTACTGTTAATTGCTTTTTTTTTTTTTTTTTGCCCCCTGCTAATATTTAATTTTCTAAAAACTTTTAATTGGTTTTCTGGAAATCCTGTTGCTAGATTGGTGCCCGAGGAGGTGGTAATTAGCACAGTGCAGGGGCCTGAGAGGATACGTGAGCAGGCCCAGCACCGTGGGGAAGGTTTCAAGGAAGGGAATGCCATTCCCCACCCTTGCTGGGGGACAGGATAAGCAGCATGGGACGGGGAGACTGAGCTTAGGCATTTGGAGCAGCCTTTTGGTGGTGCAGCCAGCTCAGCATGACACAGGCTGCTGGAGGAGGGCCTGCAGTTCCCTTCAGTGCAGGATAAGGTTTTATGAACAGATTGGACAAAGACAGCTCAGGAATAACCCCCAAAGGCACAGGATGGATTAACAACCTCCTGACAGCCCCCCCAGGCCTCTTTGCTTTCACTTCTGCAGGTGTCCAACTGAGCCACAGAGGGAGGAAGGACGCTTGGAGGGGCCCTCCCTTAACTCAGAGCAAAACACCCGGGGCCAGGCTGGACCTTTACCAGTCCGGAAGGTCACCATGGCCGTCTGTCCCTCGCCGGCACAGTTGTGGGCGGCCATCTCCACCTCGTAGAGGCTCCCGGGGTCCAGCCTGGTGAGCGTCAGGCGGTGCTGCGAGGCCGGGACGTCCCTCACTGCCCAGCTGTCCGAGGCGTTGGTGACCTGCTGAGAGACCGAGGCAGGCGTCGCAAAGCTGGGGGACAGCACCGAGCCCAGAAACGTTCCCTTGGGGTTGTGGATCAAGTGGGGGCTAAACCTCCTCCTGTCTGTGCAGGAGGGAGATGTTTTCAGCCCGATTTTGCAGAGCTGTGGGAGCGTTCAAAGCCTGCCCGGGCTTTGATTATGCAGTAGGATTTGGGGGAGCTGTAGGATGCTTGGTGAAGGGCAGAGTTAAGGCTCTGAAGCCTCTCCTCCAACATTTTGTGGTGGAACCACAGCACCTTATGCAGGGAACAGATCACGTACTCCCACAGCCCACAGAAAGACGTGGAAATAATATTTTCTGGTGATGTCCCGCCGCCCCATGAGGAGCAGGAGGGAAGGTGGGACTCTCCTCCTTCTCCCCAGCTGCAAGGATAATATTTTTTCAAGCAAACACACAGGACACCGAAGTGACCCGGTGCCGAAAGGAGCATTAGCAATGCAGGCAACGCAACAAAACGGAAATGCCAGGCCTCTGCTGTATCATTCATCTTCTCCCAGCATTTGACACTGACTGATTAATGCCTGCCTCGTTTTATTTTTATTCCTGAGCCCGCGGAGCTGTGAGGCCAGGGAGGGGAGCCCTCAAGACTGCTAATATCCAGGGAAGAAAAAGAGAAATTCTTAAGAAACAAAGATAATGGCTGCATGGCATCTGACTGCTTGCAGGCTGCTGAGAATTTAGGGTCAGCGCACGAACTGGGGAAAGAGACAGCCGCAGATAGTTTCCAGAAGAGAAACAGACCCTTGCCCGGCACAATTTTAAGCCTCCTGTCATTAGGTTTTACTTTCCTTAGCCATCTTTCACACAAAGAGCCTTTTCTTTTGTTGCTGAATTGATTCCTTCCCTCTCTACAAACACACTTTTCCAGTCAGAGATGTTAAAACCAGATCATTATATAACTTGATCCTACAGATCGCATAGAAAGCGCCTCTTTCTAAACAAGTTTAAGGGTTAGTGGGACTAATTCCTTTCCACACAATCCTTCAGCGTCCCAAGAAAGAGTCTCCAGCTGAGAATTTGGACTACACTGAAAACATATTACTGCAAACTGCAGTGACCCATGGTGACCTCCACTGCCCTGCAGCCCCTTCCAGGTGAAGCGCTGAAAAACAAATAAAATATGGACAAACTCCAGCCTGCAAGTTAAGATTGCAGGCAGCACTGCTTGTTACATGATACACCACTGGGGGACAAACCTCCTCCTGGCAGGCAACTAGACCCTGCAGTCTTGTGAGGATTTTGGCATTTTTTGTGTTGTTTTTATTTATTTTTTTTCTAAACTTGCCCTGTTGTGCTCTTGTGTTGGCATCTTCTGCCTTTGTTTTAAAGGGCTATGTAAAGAGATGGCTGAAACCCTCAGCCTAAGTTTTGTTTAGAAAGAAATCAAGAACATGGTGGTGTTATAGAAGCCTTCTGTTATATCGTATGTTCATGAAGTCAAGCAACTCCAGGAAAATAGATACATATTTTCACATAAAACGGTGCCTTGCAGTGGCTGGGAATCAAACACACCAGATCTGAACCGTACTCAAAGCCCAGAGCAAAACCTACCTCTCCATTGCAACCCTCTGCCTACCCAAAGGAAATACAGCTATTAAACAAACAAATCCAAGGCTCACAGCCCACCTGCAGACCGGCACGGAAGAAAGAACACGAGTAGGGCAAAACGGCAATCGCTACCTTGCGGTGCTTCACCACATAGTAGAGGATGGGGGCTCTGCTGTCCGGCCGGGGTCTCCACACCAGGTCGTAGCTGTCTGTCTTCGACGTGCGGGGAGAGCTGAGGATGACGGGGGCTTCGGCTGGAGACACCAGCTCCCTGCTGGCTGCGCACTGTGCAGCCGCTGCCAGCGGGGTGCTCCCAGGCTTCGGCAGCCCAGCTTTATCCAGGGGCAGCTTTAAGGCACCCTCCCGGGAAGGCGGCGTGGGTGGCTGAGCTGAGCCTGGCCGGGCGTCTCGCCCAGGGTTGAGGGTAGCTCCTGAAAGGCAAAATGTCAAAAGTGACTGGGTGGTAAGGGCAGGGGAAAGGCCTGACCCAGTCCTGTGGTGAGGACAGAGCTGCGAGAAGCCCCCTGATTCCTCTCCAAAGACCAGAGCTATCCCCACGCTGCACCGCAAGTCCCTTAGAGGTATCAGGTCCCAGATGGTGCTGCCAGCTGTGCCACGCCAAAAGGTGTTAGAAACAAGCTTTCTCTCCTGGCATAAACATAATGTCTTGCTGGGGACTCTCCCAGAACAGGCCTTGGCCAAACAGGGCTTCCTACACCCTCATACCCTGGAGAAGTCCATCAGGGTCCAAGGAAACAGGGTGGCACCTCCAGGAACCCTCAGAGTGTAGGGTGAAAAGGAAGGAAGAGCTCAAACCCAAGCAGGAGGGTGATACCCCAACTTTCTCCCGCTCCCCTCTGCTCCTTCCCCGTGCGTTAGGGCTCCAACACCAAGTGCCCACAAGCTCCCAGAGAGGGACTGACCTGGCCGGGCTGTCCTCAGCTGCACCATGGCCTGCGCGCTGCCGACCTCGTTCTCTGCCATGCACTGGTAGATGCCGTCGTCCTCGGGCCCCACGCTGACCAGGCGCAGCGCCCGGCGGGAGAGCCGGAGCCGGTGGCTGGCGGAGAGGGGCACGGCGTTGCGCAGCCACACGACGGAGGGCTGGGGGTTTCCCCGCACCTCGCAGGTGAACTTGGCGCTCTGGCCCCAGGGGATGATCTGCTGGGACAGCTCCATCGTGACCTCCGGAGGCTCTGCCAGGGGAAAAAGCACGGCTGCTGAGCAGCGCCTGGCAGGGAGCGCGGCAGCGTCCTGGCTTTGCGCTGTTCTCTATAGGTTCTCAACCCTCCCTGCCAGTCCTGCTAGCTTTGAGGGGTCCCACATGGATGTGGTATTCCCCTTTAGCATCCACATTGACCGCACAGAGGTGTCCCTCTGAGCCACATGATGACAGCAGGCACCTACGAGTCTCGTTTCTCTTAGCTGAAACATCGCTCTGCAAAGCTTGTGCTCGTGCCAATAACACTTCAGCACTTGGATGAGATGAAATCTAACAAAACATAGGCTTATCCTCCCTAATGCTCGTGAGAAGGAGAAGGATGTGTGGTAGAAACATGTAAGGCGTGGTACCCCTTATGTTTCTCACCCCGTAGAGAGCTTTCCTACAGAACAGAGTGAAAAGCAAGACACTTTCATCTCTTTGCTGTTATCTAGCTCAAATATATCTGAGAAGCAGCCAGTCCTCCACTAGAGAGTGTTAGGGTAAACCTTCCCCAAAGGAGGGAGGATCCATCACCTCCAGCTCACGGTGGGAGCCAGGAAGGAGGAACCACCACCCTCAAGCCAGAATTCATCCCAGTCTCCTCAGAACTGGAACCCACAAGCAGTGGGGAAAGCCCAAGCCCCTCCTCAAGCGAGGGCTACGGCAGCACTCACCGAACACCTGCACGTTGTAGAAGATGAATGCGGCTCCGGCCTCGCCGACCCCATTGTCCGCCGTGCAGCTGTAGGTCCCCGAGTCCTCCTCGCTGGTGGGGTCGATGAGGAGGTTGCTGAGCAGGAAGCGCGTCTTGTTGAACGCTGAGACGCTGGAGCCGTCCTTGGCCCAGGTGACCCGCGGCGGGGGGATCCCGCTGGCCACGCACTCCAGGATGAGGCTTTGGCCTTTGGTGACGATGATGGTCTGAGCCTCGGGGGGGTAGATGATCCGAGCTGCCTCCGCCGTGGAGCCTGGTGACGAGAGGAGGAAGGAGGTAGGTGGGAGGAAGGCGGCAGTGCATGACAAAATCATTCTTTAAGGGATGCGTGCATGCAGCAAGTAGTTCTTGCTGAAGGACTGAGGACCTTTCCTCGTGTGACACCAAAAATAAATCCCGAGGAAGGCACAGCGATCCCAGGAACATACTTTGTTCGTACTTTGTATGTGCACCCAGGGCCAGAATGGCTCAGACATGCAAAGAAAGGAGAGCGGCTTACGTCTCACGCGGAGCCTCTCGCTGGACACGGAGGTTTTCACCTCCTGCGTCACGGGGTTGTAGGCAGCACATTTGTAGGTCCCCTCATCCTCCTGGCTGGCGTTGACAATCTGCAGGTTCCCGGATGGCATGATAAGGTAATTGTCTGCAGGGAGAGAAGAGGAGATGGTCATAAGGTGTGTGTCCTGGAAGAAACACTGTGCCCCGTAGAAAAGGTGGACAAGTGGGAAGGGAAAAAAACAGCAGGAGAATGCTGAAACGTCCCCTTTTCATTCAAACATCAGGAGGAGCAGTGATGCAATTGTGGAAGGAAGAGAGCCTCGGGTGAAGCCAGCTCGCCACAAGTGCCTGCAGCAGATGGAGTGAAGCTGTCAAATTGAGACTCGAGTTTTTAAAAATTCCCCATGTTCAGAAACATCTTTATCCAGGGGCTGAGCTAGAGGAACACTGCACGGACGTACAGGGATGCCCAATGAAGAGCACCATGGCGCATCGCCTAATTCTGCTTCCTTCCCCCTTCCACAAGCTGGTGTTACACCCTAAAAGAGCCTGTCCTCAAACTGGCCAAAAAGGGACAAGAGGGAGGCAGACAGTGCTGCTGCTGGCAGGGAAAGGTAAAATTGAGGCTGTGGGGGGACACGGGGGGACAGACCCCTTGGTGCTCACCTCGGGAGGCCTCCAGCCACTCGTGCTTCACGCTGTAGCGCACCTGGGCCTTGGGGTGGCTCTCGGGCAGGTCGCAGGCGATGACGGCCGTGTTGCCCTCGTCCACCTCAATCACGTGCTGGCCGTCAAACTTGAAGTCCTTGAGATCTGCACGGGGAACAAAGCAAGGACAGGGCTGCTTGCCTGGTGCTGGCAGAGGACAGGAGCTGTTCCCAGCAAGCAGCTCTTGCAGCCAGAGCTGCCCTGTGCTCATCCAGAGCTCCAGCAGCCGGCCTCTCTGCTCAGGGCACCCTTTGTACAAAAGAATTATGGAAACAGGGAGCCAGAAAGTGCAAATAGGGGGCACCTGCCCCTGCCAAGGCAGGCAGCAGCTGCTACACCAGGACGAGGACACCCGCCCTGCGCTCGGCCGTCCCCTCTGAACCCATCCAAGTGCCCGTGGGCAGTTTGGAGAGCTGGGGGGCACAAGGGCTCGTGGAGGGCGGGCTCCACGCAGCCTTCCCTTGGCAGCCGAGCCGGCAAAAAAATGTGTTTTTGTTCTCTGGGAAACATAGCAGCGCTCCAAGAGCAAGAGACAAGGCTGGCTCCGAGCTTCTCCCACCCACAGTCATGGAAAAGTGACATGAAATTTCTCAAGCAGACTTTCTGATTAAAGCAAGATCCTTGATGGGGTTTAAATAAAAACCAGCCCTCTTGGCAGGGCGGCGAGAAAGCCTCCCCGAAGGCGGCGCGGAGGGGCTGCCGGGCGGCTGCTGGGGGAGCGAGTGTTCCCGTGCCCGGGTCCGAGGGGAGGGGAGGAGGCCGAGCAGGGGAGGGGAGGTTTTGCAATGTCATAAAAATGATTTGCAGCGAACATGCTTTCATACTCCTGGAATTTCTTGGCACCGTTCAATTAAAAAAAAAAAAATAATAATAATAAAATAATAATACCAAAAAGAAGGAATAAGGGCGAGCTGCAGCAATGCCATTAATCCTTTAAGACAGGCCGAGGAGGGGAGCCATGTTTCCACTGGGTATTAAAGCCAGATGAAGGTTAACTCTTCACTTGTGAAAAGCTGGCGGCGCCCCGCACTCCTCCAGCAACGAAAGTTCCCGCTGGGGAGGGGCAGGGTGCTGGGCATTTTCCCCTCTTCACTTTTTTTTTTTTTTTTTTAATCCTCGATTAAGGAATAAAAAAGAGCGAGAGCCACAGAAATGGAAGGAGGTGGAGAAGGGGCGAGAGCCCAGCGTCCGCCTGCCCGCATCGCACATGCTTCTCCCATCGCCAAAATATAAACGAGCATCGGGGAAATTAATGTGCGCCTTGGTGGTCTGCGTTCATCACGGCCAAACGAAGCTTTCGGAGCCAAGGCATCGGCCCCAGCACCGCTGGCAGGGAGCTGCACATGCACATGGCCTCTGTGTAGCCCCACAGCCCCGTCGCACCCTGGTGGCTGGGAGAAACTTGCTCCTGGCTGCAAAGGGGCTAGCGGGGCTTACGATTATTCTGATTTTGGTGTCTGTGAGCATGAAGGAGCGTGAGCAGAGGGCCCTTGCTCACGTCCATCTGCCCGCTCGGAGGCGCGAGGAGGGTCAGCCCCGCAAGCTGCCTGCGCCGCTGTCAGCGGGGAGCGAAACCAGCTGCGGCCCGCGGCCGGGGGCCAAGCAGCGAGACGGAGCGGATTAAATGAATGGGAGGCCATAAATAACTCGGGACAAGGAGCCTGAGGAAATAAAAAGCAGGCCCTCGAGGTGAAAGTCCTCTCCTCGGCCCTCGCGGGCACACCCGGGCTGCCCTACAGCCTCTGGCTCGCTCACGAGCCCCAGGTGCATCCCTGAGCCCCGCTCCCCCTGGCCTCCGCAGGCAGCACCTGTGTTTTCCTTCTCTCCCCTCTTCACGCCACCTCTGCCCCAGGGCCCCGAGGCCGTCGCCAGTGAGGCCGAGGGGGCCCTGAGGGACTGGGCATGCAGCACCTGGGGCACTCGAGGGGGTTTCCTCCAAGGGAGGAGGTGAGAAAGAGCCCCAGAGTTGGCCAGATGTTACCTACGCCCCTCGAAACCTAGCAGGACGCTTTTTCCAACGAGCCCTGATCCGCTTCCAAAATCAACCTGAAATCATAAGCTGGAAAACACTCCTTTCTGCCTCCTGCTTTTTTTCGTTCACCTTCCAGTTTCTCTCCTCCACCTCCAAAAGCGATTTTAGGCTGGGGCCAAAACTTTCAGAGGGTTTTCTCCCAAGACTTTTTGAAGCCGGTGCTCTGGGAGAAGCCCAAGGTGCCAATGGCAATGCCAGCCCCTCCTACACCTTCAGCCCTATTTCTTTCCAGGGCTGCCCCTTCCCTCTCTTCTCTCACAGCTTTCCAAGCCTTCCCCATCCGAGGCAGCCACACAACCTCGGGGACCTTCTGGTGCTCTAGGACCTGTCTCCTGCCCACCGCTGATGCCAGACCCAGGAAGACCCTCAAACTGCCGTGCTCTGCTCTCCTAAATGCAAACCATGTCCTTGGTAACCCCATCCACCTCTCCCCTTCTCTCCTCCCCTCTATCAGGCCACCAGCGCACACAGCCCCCTTTCTGCTCTGGAATGCGTTCTCCGAAACTTAATCTCAGCGCGGAGCTCGGGCCAAATCCCCCGACGGGTTCGGCCCCGTGACAGCCCCCTCCCGCCCCGCTTCGGAGCGCAGCAACTCCCCCTCACCTCCTCCTCCTCCTCCCACCCAGCCTGGCCTAAACATTTCACTTCTGATTAATGTATCAGTGACAAGCCAATCGCTCTTGGCTTTAAAGCCAAACCAGCCCCCACTCCGCACAAACATCTTCACTTCGGTGCTTTCTTAAGGCTTAGCCCCACGCTCCCCCTTGCCGTGAAGGCAAAGTGTCCTGAGAAGTCCAAGGAGCCCTCCTTTCCTGCCACAGCGAGCGAGGGAGCTTATGAAAACCTCTCAGGATGGGTGAGCAGAGGCCTGGGCAGTGCAGGGGATGGCAGAAGCTACTCACTAGCTAGCGTGACCACTGCAGGGACGCTGGCGATGACTCCCTCAGGCACACGAGCGATGCATTGGTACCGCCCCACGGTGTGGTTGTTGAGGGCTGCCACGACGAGCTTCCCTCGCTCGACCTGGACACCCAGCGCCTCGTCCGACCCGGCCAGCTCCTTCCCGTTCAGTCTCCAGGTGAGGTTCACGCCAGGGGGGTCCACCACACACCCCAGGCTGACCGGGCCCCCGAATTTTTGGACAATGGAGGCGGGCTGCACGGTGACCTGCAGAGATTCACCTGCACGGAGAGAAAGAAACAGCAGGAGGAAAGCTCCGTGAGTCTCGGTAAAAGGAAAAACCTGCAGTGCTGCTGCATTTTGCATTCCCCATCGCTTCTACACATGCCTCACCCTCCCCTCAGCTCCCCATCCTCCCCCACTAGGACTTGGAGACACACAGCAGCCTCATTTCTCCTTGGCAGGGATGTCCAGCCCCACCTGTCACCCTTTCTCCCTTTGAGGAGCACCTGAAGCCAGAAAGAAGTGGGATCCCAGAAGCTCAGCTCGCCTTGAGACAAACCATAAATAAAACAGAATATAAAAGAGCAAAACACTCACTCAGTTGGGCAAAGCAGCTAGCAGCTGCGAGGAGGAGGCAAGGGACAGGGGACATGGGTCTCTTCTTTCCACGTGTCATTGCCATCCCATGCGGTGTCTCCTGGGGCAGAGGCGCCCAGGGAAGGGTCCCATAAGCTGCTTCAAGGGATGTGGTGGAGGTGCGGCAGCGGCTTCCTGTGGGTGACAAAAAAAGATGGCAAAGTTTAGATTAACTACTCAGCCTGAAACACACAGCCCGTTTTGAGTTGACTATCTGTCTGGACAAACCACCAGGTTCACGTTTGAAAGCATCAACAATATTCCAAAAACGCGAAGCCCAAGGCCACCCATCACAAGGAACCAACAGTAACACTAACAAAGCTGGCAAGGGGGACCAAAGATCTACACGGCTCAAGCAAGGACCAGTTTGACCACCTCCTTTCCATACCCATCTCGGTCAAAAAGAGCCCAAGATAACAAGCTCTGCCGAGAGGCAGGACAAATTAGTTCACGCTTGCTGTGTCCCTAGGAGCTGCTGTAGACCCTGCAGGCTCCCAGAAAGGGCAGCTGAAGCCACGCTGCTGCAGCCCACAGCTCCTTGACATGTGGAAATCCTCTGTGGGTAACCACCAGCGCCAAAGCGATAACACGGAAACCTCCCTCCCACGTGCCTCAGCCTTCCCAGCACCGCTCTCCTCCCCCGAGGAGGGAAGAGCCTCAAGGATTTGGCTTTGAGGCATTTTGCCCGCTAACCAGCGCAGACTGTGGCTGGAGATCCTCCAGCTATCGGCGTGGAGAACATCTGAGTCACTCCAGTTCATTTCTCCACCAAAGGCAGCTACCAAAGCATCCTCCCTTGTGCCTCAGCCACCACTGACCACGGCAGTAGAAGTGCCCAAGGTCCCCTAGCAGAGCAGTACCTCCATTGACACCACCGATGTGCCACTTTAACCTAGAAAAGACTTTGCATTGGGTTAGGCTTCAAATTTGGGTTTCTACCTCACACCAGGAGGCACACCGGGGACAGCCAGTCTTCCACCAAAGCAGAAGAATCATTTTGGGGTAGGACTCGAGCCTTGCTCCTCGGTGCTGGAAGAAGCCCACGGAGCAAAGCTGACTCACTCGCCCTCTCTGGATGGGTTTGGCAGCAGGATGGGAAAATGTTGGACGGAAAAGGGTTGGACTCCTCCGAGCCCATGCAGGAGGAGGGGGGCGGCGAAGAGGTTCCCAACCAGACCTCCCTGCAGCAACGCCTCTGGCCAGCAGGGCAGAGCCAAGGGCGCAGACACGCGATGGACCCTTCACGAGCAAAGACCACCCAGGCACATGGAGGCAAGGACCCAACTGGCCGTCCCCAGGTCTGTGGAGAGAAGAAGAGCAATAGGTGGGGGGTGGTGAGGCCAAAATTTGGCGGATGGACCAGCACCAAGCGGAGAGCAAGGAGAGGTGTGCTGCAACAAGTGTACAGTGCCTCCCCAAACCTCCAGGCAGAATATGAGCTCCAAATGGGGACATGTGGCCATTTCTTTCACAGCTGAGCGAAGGACAAAAAGTAAATGGCCAGCATAAAAAATAATGAGGAAAATGAATGAAAACATCAACTCCAAAAAGGACTATTAGGATCTGGGGCCAGATTTCGAAATTCTCAGCTTCCACAATTGAAGCCAGATTTTCAAAAGCATTCAGTGCTTGACATGCTGAGCTCTCCTGAATAGGCAACCAACTTATTTCGACGCCTAAATGGGAGCTGACCCCTTTTGAAAGCGCTGCCCTTAAGCAGCCTGCAGTGGTGCAGAGCGAGGAACTTTATTAATCGGGCGGCTTTCGATCCGCCCGGCGGCCCCGGGTGCAACATCCCCGGCTGCTGGCACTTCTGTGGCCACCAGCCTCTGCTGGAGGAAAAGAAGGAGTTAAAGGGATGGGAAGAGCTCCAAAAAGGGGCTGGTGTTGGGGGGGAGTTATTTACTTATTTATTTTTAATTCTTTCCTGTCAGGTTGAAATAACAATTTCCTGTCAGGGGAGCGAAGGCTCGAAGCTCCCCTCAGCCAGCCCACTAAATCAAAGGAGGGGCCATTAGGAGAACCGAATTAACGAGGGCTTCGTCGGATGGGGGGGACGGCAGGGGGGTGTAAAACCTGTCGGCTCCGCTTCCCGCCCCACCCCAAAGCCCCCTGCCCCACGCCGAAGCCCCCCTCAATGAGGGAGAGGAGCGGGACGGGGACGGCGAGGGGAGGCCGTGAGAGGGAAGGGAGGTGAAGGCTGGAAGGGAAAAAGGGGCCCGAATTAAAGGCGTTGGGTGAGAGGTGTTGGGTGATTAGAAGCTGAAGGTTTTACTGAGGAAACGCTGCCCACAGCCCCGAGCCCCCTCCTGCTTAACGAGGGCCGGCCGGGCAGCCCTCATTACAGCCACGCCGCCTGTGATTTACAAGGGGCCCAAATAGAAACCAGCCCCAGCCCTGTCCCCAGCAGCGTGGGCAGACGGGGAAAAGGCCAAAACCTGAGGGTGGGGGTACGGGGACACAGCCAGCCTGCAGGTGGGGACAGATGGGGTGAAGGGGAAGGGGCTGAGGCCAGGTACCAGCAGGTTGGGCAGGGGCACCCCCAGATCTCTGCTTTGGGATTCAAGCTCCTCACAAGAAGCATTTTTTGCATCATGCCAATGTTGCCTGTAATCTTTAGTTTCTAATACAAGAGAGGGCTGGGTGGTTTTTGGTTATCAGAGCTTAAGGCACTGATAAGGAAGGTGAAGAAGGAAGAGCCGCAGCACCCGTTCCCTTCACAGCTGAGGTAATGTGAGGGCCTGCTGAGAAGCCCACCTGGTGCAAGGCCCTGTCCTGAAGCAATGGCAGGGCTGGAAACTAAAAACTTTCCACCTGGGATGTCCATCCCAGCAGGCAAGTGGTTCTTGGACCCCAAATCGCTGCTGTCCCCTCTGAGAAAAGCCACCACACAAGGTTAGACACCCGCGCGGGTCAGCAGTTCTGTGGGATAACTTTGTGCTCACAGCTCGGGGAAGGAAAACACCCAGAGCCAAAGCTGGCACGGCACCACCACCCTGCAAACCAGCGAGCTGGCCTGCTAACTGCAGACCACACCTGGGCGCCAGCTGGCCCTAAAAAAAAAAAAAACAAAAACACCACAGATTTCCCCCAGGCCAGTCCCGAGCAATTCGGTGGCGATAGACACCTGCCTGAAGGACACAAAACAAACTGGCAAGTAAAACAGCTCCTACTTGTTGAGCAGAGCTGCTCACATCCACCAAACACAACTCGCAGTGATCGATCTGGGACTTTCTCCTTAAATCTCCTCAGGACGAAGCCCCACGGGCAGCCCCTTCCCACACCAGCCCCCGGTGGCATCGCAGGGCCTGGAAGCAGCAACAGGGCGTGAAGAGCCCCAAAACCACCTCAGGCCCTTGAAAAGACGAAACTACCACAGCAAGGCAGCCAAGCCAAGCCAAGGCACCCCCCCCCACCATGCCCTCGGCACTTAATTTCCATCGTACCCCCCCTCCCAAGGCTCCGGCCTGAGTAAATTCAATCTGACAACCCTGCTAATTGGATAAACGCTGCTCCCCGCGCTCCTTGAAGGCCGCCCGCTTTTCTCTGCTGGTTTTCCGAGGGCGATTGTGGCTGTTCTTTAACACGAATTCCATCTGCTTTATTTCTCCTCTGCCCATTCACGGCCCCTCCTGCATATGTATGAGGGGCTGCACCCCCCCCCCTCCTCCCCACCCCCGACCCCCTCCCACCCCTATTCCCTGCCCTCTCCCATTGCCCGGGACAATAATCCCCCAAATGCCCCCTTCTCCCACCCCGGCCCCCTTTTTTTTTTCCCCTTTAGATAAACACAGGCAGTGTCAAGTGTGAGGAGGAGGAGGGGGGGGGGAGGAATGGGGTTCAACTGCCAGTCAAGCCCCGGGCCCTCAATGAAGCCCGGAGGCCCATCCTAATCTGCTGCATGCTTGCCATATGGGAGCTGTGTTGCCCTGGGAAACACTAACAGGCAGAACGGAGCTTAATAGAGTCCATATTCATTGTAATGCAGTGAAATGGCTCGAGGGACTATTGCCCCTTGGGTCTGTTTTCATTCTTCTGCTCCCCCTCTTTCTTTTTTCCTCCCCCCCCCCTCCTTCTCCCTTTTCCTCCCTCCCCTCCCCACCCCACACCCCCCTTTTTCCCTTTCTTCCTTTCAAAAGCCCCCCCCCAGTCCCTGGAGAGCTCTAATCTGGAGAGGCTGGGGGCTCCCAGAAGGGATGGCCGGGGATGGGGACAGGGGGGTGAGGATGGGGGCTGCCCGGCTGGGCTCTCCCAACGCCCCGGAGCCCCCCAGAGACCCCCGTCCTGGCCGGCGCTTCGAAGCGCGGCACAAGAAAAAAAAAACAAAAAACAAGAAGGGCGCAGATGGAGCGTGCTGAGCGGGCTCTTCAGAGACAAAGTGCACCCAGGAAACAGATGTTGTTGCTGCAACAAGCCCGGCGGCTCGCTGGCTCCTTCTCCAACCCGCTACGGTGCGCCCAGAGCGCTCGCTGGGGCTGCCACGGGGTGCGCCTCCAGCCGAAAGCCTTAGCCCCACGTTGGGGTTGAGGCTTGGTCCTGTTTTGGGTCCAACCTGAGGAGCTATCGTGGTGTTAATCCAGCTCCTGGAGCAGCAGGGAAGGCCGGCTGATGTGGGGCTCTGCAGCAGGACAGCAGTTGCAGCTCTGTGGCGGAGGATGGAGCAGGAACGGGGCCACCCGCTGCCCCAGGTGTGCTGTGAAAACCACCACACATCCTGCCAGCCTGGGAACGTACTGCACTGCATGCTTGTTGGTCAACCCCGGCATCCCAGCCTTGTGCAAATGACACTCGTTTTATCATTCACGTCGCAATTCAAGCCAGAGCCCACTGTCAATGCAGGCACAGCTGCAGACAGATGCTGCACAAAGCAGAGCAAAAACCACCCCACGCCCTAGAGACTTCAAACCACAGGCTAGGAGCGCTACTCGCCTTAGGATGTTTGATGCAAGGGGTAACAAAAAACTTATCCATCCACGTCTTTTCCTGCTTGGAGAGGAAGGGCGAAGCATGAAGCACTTGCCTCTGCTTTGGTGTGCCCTAAGAGGCCAGCCAACATTTCACAGCTCTGCAGAGATGCTGGTAGCACCCCACAGACCTCCTAATACATCAGGAGGGCTTCAGGGCTGCAAAGCACC